TTCAATACATTTATATGCAATAAAATAATTAAATACAAATAATATGAGTACAGTCGTAGCAAATATTATTTTTTTTATTTGTTTGTTTGCATCAAAATGACTGTATAATTAAGCATAAATGTAAAAATCTATAGAAAAATATAAGTATTTTATTATTATTAATTTAGTATTACTAAAATAAATACCATAATTAATGTCGATTTATTATATATACCGAAACCTCCGATTGTAAATCCAATTGATTTTTGTCTCAACACATCCTTAAACAATATGAGTTCCCTGTACTCCATATCCGACAAACTGTCAGCTCTTAATCTATTATAATATAAAACTTAGTAAACTGTTTAAAACATTGTACAATAATTGTGTATATATAATATCGGTATATATTATATAAATGTTAATCATTTTTATTATGTTAATAAAAATTTACTACACTAATAAACAATATAAATAATTACGTTTATATGAAATAAATAAATTTATATATTATGTTGTGTATATATATATATATATATATACAGTATATAAACTAAATATAATATAACAAACTAAATGAAACAATTTATTTTATGAAATACTATTTGTATAAATTATTTATTAATAAACAATTTAAACATATTAAACAAAATATATAAACAAATAAATATTAATTCAATATTTTTAAAATGACTGTAGAGTTAATTTTAATGACAAATAAGATGATTAAATTTTTGTTATGAAACATTTATTAAATTGAGTTATAAATTACTATATTTTTTAATTATTAAACCACAAGTTTATTAAATTAATTAACATAAAAATTATAATAACATTACATTTTAGGATAATTAATTTTATGATGATTATGTTTGCATCAATAAAACTGTATAATTTAGCATAAATGCAAATATCTGTAATAAATATATTTTAAAAATATTGTATTACAAATTATTTTAATTAATTAAAAAATCAATACAAACAGCAATTAGTGTTGATTTGTTGAGTCGGGCGTAACCACCGATAGTAAAGCCAATTGTATTTGATTTACGAAACAATTGGTTAAACATAAGCCACTCCTTGTACTCCAATTCAGTCAACTGTCGGGCATTGAGTTTGTCCAGTGTTTTGGACAGTCGGTCACAACTGGTATCCCAAACGGAACCACATATTAGACATGTTATGATCATCTGTACCCACATTGACACTGATGTAAACACTGCTATAATAAACCAATTTTTCATAAATGGATAACTTTTTAATTGTAACATAACATAGATTGATATCATTGATACAAATATGGTGTTCACTGTATTTGTAATCAACAAAATCGATAATTTTCTATCCATTTGTTTGATAAGTTCAGTGATAGTAATAAACATTTGTTTAGATTGCCTTAAATTATATACATATTTTTTGCCAATTATTTTCAAATCTTTAAATATAATATCAGTTTTAATTTATTATATTATTAATATATTTATTATATTGGATAAAAAATTCTTACTGTTAGTTTTGATACTATTAGTTAAAGTTTTAGTTATATGATCAATGTTATTTGAAGCAATTGACGATATTAACCATGTAATAACCGGGATCAACCATTTAAAAAGTAATGAATATGCATTGTCCATAGTGTTTACTATAGGAAATACGCTATGCCAGCTAGTGAAATTGATCATGGTAATTATAAACAATATGATCAATATTAGATTATGTATCCACCATATTAACAATAAAATGATCATGAACCAATTGATTTGTCGCTTTAATCTGGCAAGTTTTTTAAAGTGTTCCAGTACAATTGCTACTAATTGATAACCTTGGACGTTTATCATGTAAATAATTAGTAATTTTTGTAGTTTATCACTTATGCCAAAAGTCATCATTATTAATTTAAAATGATTTGGTACTTTACTAATTAAATGCTGAAATTTGCTATCATACCATGATACAATAAGCAAAACAGGACTAATAACAAACAAGTAAAATAAAAATATAAGCCAGCTAATTAGTTTCCAAAATTGATTACAATAAACCACTGTACCATGGTGATTATTTAGGGCGACGCCACCAAATGTAGCAAATTGTAAACGCAATAACCATATGTTTAATTTAATAAATGTTTGAACATGTTCATTTAGATATTCCATGTTTATAAAAAAATTTTAATATAATTATTAATATAAATATTAGAGATTTTTCTATACTATGATATTTATTAAACTTTATTAATTTTATAAATGTACCGGTATTTTATTTTAATATTTATTTGATTAAATTAAAGGTTTTTATGTAATTAATTTTGTATTAAATAAATAGTTTTTGTATTATTAAAATCATAACGATTTATATACTCGTTATAACATTATTTAGTTGCTTTATTACTTTTATTAAATATAAACAAATTATTAATAATAAAATAAAATATACTATATTTTATATGATTACATTTTACTTGAATTTTACATATATTTATATTATAGATATGCTTTATAAATACATTTAATAAATTAAATTTATATACAGTAATTGGTTTTATGTAATAATAAAACAGAAATAGTTATAATCAGAAATATTTTAAATATTAATAGCAATGTACAGATATTTATTTTAAAGCCATTTTAGGATAATTAATTTTATAATGATTATGTTTGCATCAATAAAACTGTATAATTTAACATAAATGCAAATATCTGTAATAAATATTTAAAAAATTATTGTATTATTAATTATTTTCATTAATTAAAAAATCAATACAAACAGCAATTAGTGTTGATTTGTTGAGTCGGGCGTAACCACCGATAGTAAAGCCAATTGTATTTGATTTGCGAAACAATTGGTTAAACATAAGCCACTCCTTGTACTCCAATTCAGTCAACTGTCGGGCATTGAGTTTGTCCAGTGTTTTGGACAGTCGGTTACAACTGGTATCCCAAACGGATCCGCATATCAGACATGTAATGATCATTTGTATCCACATTGACACTGATGTAAAAATATTTAAATGTATCCAGCTTTTTGAAAATGGTAAATTATTTAATTTTAACATAACATAGATTGATATCATTGATACAAATACGGTGTTTACTGTATTTGTAATCAATAAAATCGACAGCTGTTTGTCCACTTGTTTAATAAGTTCAGTAACAGTAATAAACCAATGTTTAAATTGTCGTAAATTATATTCATGTTGTTTATCAAATGCTTTTAAATCTAAGAATTAAATTAATAATATTAATAAAATTTATTTAAAATTTATATTGATATTTAAATTTTCATAAAAAAAAATTTTGTTACTATTTTTATTTTCGATAATATTATTCAAATTAATAGTTATATAATCAATGTATTTTATGGCAATTAACGATATTATCCATGTAATAACTGGGATCAACCATCTACAATATATTGTATATGAATTGTCTATTGTGTTTACTATCGGATACCAATTGTGGGAAATATTAGTCAAATTGATCAAGGTAAATATGAACAAACCAAAAAGTATTGCATTGTGTATCCACCATACTAACAATAAAATGATCATGAACCAATTGAATTGTCGCTTTAATCTGGGTAGTTTTTCAATGAATGCTACTACAGTCGACACAATTTGATAACCTTGAACATTTATCATGTAAACGATACATAATTTTTGTAGTTTAGTACTTATGCTCATTGTCATCAAAATCCATTTAAAATGTTTTAGTACTTTACTAATTATCTGTCGTAAATTGCTATCGTACCATGGTAGAATAATTACAATTGGACTAATTAATAGCAAGTGTGCTAAAAATATTAGCCAGCTAATAGACTGCCAAAATTTACTACGATATACTCCTAGTGTACCATGATTGTTTAGATCTAGGCCACCTAACGTTGTTAATTGTAATCGTAGTATCCATATGTTAAACTTGATAAATGATTTAGCATGTACATTTATATAATCCATGAGTTTTATAAATTGTTTTTTTCTAAATTATAATAATACTTAATCAAATCAAATCAAAATAATAATTTAACATTAGATATTAAATAGTTAATAGTATTACTTAAACTATTTAGTATAATAACTGTTTAGACCATATATATTTATATATATCAATATGAAATATAATTTATTTTATTATTAAAATTCTTTAATAAAATTAATGTTTTTTTTTATTAAAATATTTTATTAAATAATTATAGTAATATGTAATAAATATTTATTTAACAAAAATAACAATATTTAATTAATATAATACTGTATAATACTATTAATGCATAAATAACAAGATAATATACTAAAAAAATCAGTAATAAGATTAATAGATTCAGTATTATTATTAATAATATATGCATATTTATATAATAAAAAATATACTTACGAATATTAATAATATAAACACCTAAATAAGTTGAATAAAAATAATTATTTATTAGAAATATAAAACTATTATTATTTTATTATAAAAGTATAGTTAGATATAAATGTCAATATGTATTATAAGTAAACTAAAAATAATTTATAATAAAATAAATAAAGGTATAATTCCAGTCATATGATTTTATTAATATTAATTTATTTTAATAAATTAAAAATATACAATATGCAAAAACAAATATTAACACATTTTTTCATTTAGTGTATAAAATAAATTTTTAAAAAATAATATTGTAAAGTAATATAAAATTTATACATTAAAATAATTAAACACAAATAATAATAATTATATTTATTAATTTACCGGTATTCAAATATTTACTTATTTGTTTGTAGCAAAATAACTGTATAATTAAGCATAAATGTAAAAATCTATAGAAAAACAAAGTTAAATTATTGATTAATTTTAAAAAAAAATTTAATTAGTATTATTATTTTAATAATTAATATTATTAAATATTAAAAAAATATGAATACTATTACTATTAAACCATAAATACTTTATTATACCGTAATTAAAGTGGATTTATTATATACACCGAAACCTCCGATTGTAAAACCAATTGATTTTTGTCTCAACACATCCTTAAACAATATGAGTTCCCTGTACTCCATATCCGTCAAACTGTCGGCTCTTAATGTATCCAACGTTTGGTTCAGTTGTTTGGCTTTTGACTCAACCGAACAGCATATCAGACACGAAATGATTAGTTCAGCCAAACAGGACACACATGTAAAACAAAATAATATGAAAATTGGTTTAAAATTTTTGGATCCGTCCACTAGTTTTGTTTCAACAAATATAGTAATATATATTTGAAACATTACAGCAAATATTGTGTTCAATACGTTTAGTATATTTATATATCGATGACTATCGTTCAGTATATTAATTATATGCCGGATCTTACAAAACAAAGTTTTAAACTCTAAAATTTGAATTATTGTTTTGTTTGTATCTAAAAAAATTAATAATTATTAATAAAAAATATTATTTTTTAAATTACTAGAATAACAATCAAAAATATTAAAAATAAAAATAGTATCTAGCTTGTTTTATACCATATTGAAGATAACGGTGTTTATTGATTAGATTGATAATAATATCCAATATATTTGAACTGCTAATCGATACTAACCACATGCCAAACGGTATAACCATTTTGTATAATAGGTCGACATATAAGTGTATATTAATTATAATAATTTGCAAATTGTAGTTGAAATAGTTTACGGTAGTTATAATGAACAGGGTGATAGTTGTGACAAAATAAGCCAGGTAGAATGCTATTGCTGGCAAATAGGGTTTCAATTTGACCACCTGGTTCAATTTCAATTCATACTGGATCAATTGTACAATTAATTGGACAAATTTGTAACCTCCATCGTGACTATTCAAATAGATCAAGGTGATTAAACTTAATAGGGTGTTCAACATTTTCATTAATACGCCCATAATTGTGGTTGTTTTTAATTGGTCCACAATATTCTTAGAAAAATCACCATGATAACTTCTAGTGTACATAAACCCTATAGTAACTACCATAAATAAATTCATTAATGTAACTAACATCGTAATAAAATAGCCATAGTATCTATAGTAAATAGATTGCGGTAATTTAGCATGATTACTATTTTTATTGGCACTAGGACATTTTAAGCCGCCAAATGTAATGCCTATTAAACGATATATTATCAGAAATAGTTGTGATATAAATATAATAATAGATGTCATAATTGTGTTATTTAAAAAAAAATTATTTTTTCAAAATACTGTATGTTTTATATATATTAAATGTGACATAAAATATATATTTAAAAAATTAGTTTAGAAAATAATAATCCACTAAATTATTTAGAAAATAGAAAGATAACTAAAATAATAATAGCTATTAATTTATAGTTTATTAAATAAATATCATATAAATGCTAATTATTTACATTAGTGTTACTAGGTTTCAATGGAAACATAAACATTTACATTATAAGTTTTATATACAGTAGTTTATAAATATATAAAAATAGATTATATTTTATTATTGTAATAAAATCAAAAAAAAATTAAATGTCAAATTGTAAATAAATTAAAATAAATATAATTTAAATAAATCAAATAATAATATTGAATATTATTTATTATTGTTTGCTGTTATAATAAATAACAACTTAATTTTAAGCTATATTTTTGTATAATAAAATTTAAATATATAAATATTAAACTGTTATTAAATAAAATAACTTACTAATATTGATATAATAATTTAATATAAAAATATTTTAGCAAATAATAGTTATTCATTAATATTATAAGAAACAGTTGTATTTATTAATAAAAATAATAACAAAATTTTTTTATATTTAAATATATGTAATCATTTAAACTAGATTTATATTATATATATATATATATATTTATAAATACTGTATAAAAACAGTTAAATAGATCTTATAATGTGTGTCAAGTAATTATGTTAGCAATCTATGAGATGATAAAATATATTTTTATTTTTATTTGTTATTTTATCAAAACATTTAATCATTTATGCAAAACAGACATTTGTTATTAACAGTTTATCTCTTAAATAAAATATTATACTAAAAATAAATAATTTTAAGTTATAAACAAATTTTTAATATTGAATGTTTAAATAATTTCTATATAAAAGGTTATAATTAAAAATAATTTTAGTTATATATTTATTATATAATGTTAAAAAAATAAAATAATCATAAACATTATGATGATAATGTAATAAATAAACTTTTAATTGTGTTTATAAAATAAGCAAAATATTTAACTTATGATTAAACTATTATATTATAATAATTTAGTCAAATTTAGATGAAATAATAGTGAAAACTTTTTTTTTCTAACAAACAATTTTTTTTGAAATAAAAATATTTATTTTTATAATTAGTATTTTAAACGATATCTTTATGTATATATTTATATAATTACTGGTTTAATCCAAATTTATTATAAATATTGTCTGTATAGATACATAACATAAAAAAATATTTTATTTATTTAATTTACTAAATATAAACACAACAACAAATTGGTTAATCATTTTTTTCTGTTATTTAAAATATTGTGGTTAAAGGGTTGACTAATATTTATTGTTGAATAAAAAAATGTATTCAATAGTTTTCATTCAATAATATTCTCAAACAAAAAAAACTAAAAAATATTTAAAACATTTACTCCTAAACACATGAATCAATTGCTTAATTAGATTAAACATCACATGAAATGATCAATAATAATGATAAAACAAATATACAGTATATATAAATATAGATATATTGTATATCATTTTTCAAAGTAAATTGATTTAAATATTAATATTAATTAATTAGTTAATTAGTTAATTAGTTAATTAGTTAATTAGTTATATATATATATATTTAAAATTTTTAGTTACAAATTGTTTTTATAAATAACATGTTTGATTATTATAATTATAATTATTATATTAAATTATATATTATGTTATTTATTTCCATATAAACTGATATTAGTATATTCACTATTATTATTTATTTTTTACAAAAAAAAAAATAATAAAATAATGAAAATTGACGCAAACATAGCGATCAAACAATTGGGTCAATTTGGTAATTATCAGTTATTTATATTTATAATAACATGCATACCGGTGCTGAACGCCGGGTTTCTGCTAATGTCGACTGTATTTATCAGCGGAACTCCTGATCACAGGTATATCCAAATCAATTTATTTATTTATTTTAATAAAAAAATATAATTAATTATTTATATTATTTATATAATATTAGATGTCTTATTAGTGAATGTGAATACAATAATAATAATAATACAAAATTGCAAGAAATTTTTTTATTAAATAATACATTTTCAATACCTGAACAATTTAAACAATGTCGTCGATATTCAATAATAAAGTATCAAAATGATACATTAGTCAATAATAATATTAATAATAATAATAAAAATTTTTGTGATAATAAATGGTTTTCAAAAATTTCAACCGAAAACTGTGATCATTATGTTTACGATAAAAGAGAGTTTCATTCAACAATTGTTACAGAAGTATAACTATTTTAATTTTTTTTTATAAATATATTACATTAAAATTAATAAAATTAATCAATTCATTCATTCATTACTATTATTTTATTTTGTATTAGTGGGACATTGTTTGCGACAATTCATGGAAACTACCGCTTAGTCAGTCCGGTCTAATGATTGGTGTACTGTTAGGAAACCTAATTTTTGGCCTATTATCGGACAGGTATTAAAACACATACACACACCTACATACACACAAAATATAGACACATAATAATAATAGTTAAATAATTAAATAACAATAATTTAAATTTTAATACATAAGATATGGTCGAAAGGCTCCGTTCACTATTGCACCGGTTATTTGTTTGATAACCACAATTGCAATAGCATTTTCACCCAATCTAATAGTGTTTACTATATTGACGGCACTGACCGCCCTGAGCGCGTCTGGCATGAGTCAGTCAGCATTTATTATTGGTAATAAATCAGATATTTATCAATTATCTAAATATTATAAATTATTATTATTGTTATTATTGTTATTATTATCATGAAATCAATAATCAGGTGTTGAACTTATTGGCGACAAATATCGTGTACTTTGTGTAAACTTTCAACAAGTAATCTATTCAACGGGAACTATACTATTATGTCTGACCGCTTATTATGTCCGCCAGTGGCGTGACCTACAATTTATGATTGCAATACCTGCTGCCCTATTATTGCCCTTAATATGGTAGTTATTTATATATATATATATATAATTTTTTTATATATATACTTTATTTATATTTTCTAAATAATAATATTATTATTATAAGTATAATAATTAAATATTAATATATCAAGTAATACAATAATTTTTTTGTAGGCTATTCCCCGAATCGTTTCGATGGCAGCTATCAAACGGCAAAGTTGACAGTGCATTGAATGTATTGAGAAGGGCTGCCCATTGGAATGGTATTCAATTAAATGAATCTGAATTTTGTGATTCTGTAGGTGTTTCCTGTCTATCAAACCAAAAAAAAAACAAATATTTTTTTGTAGTTATTTAAAAAAATACTAAATTTATTAATTAAAAATTTATGTTTTTTTTTGTTGTTGAAGAAAATACTAAACGATTCAACCGATTTCTCACAAAAATCGTGTGACATTCAAACCTATGGCCCATTTTGTATGTTTACAAACAAAACGGTCCGCTTTTGGACATTTAGCTTATTATTTATTTGGTATATATATGATATATATTAGCAATTTTTTTAAGTTTAATAAATAATTTTAACTACAAAAAAATAATTATTATGTTTTTTATGTTTAGGGTTATCGTCTCAATGATATACTATGGACTGTCGTTTCAATCGCAAAATCTGGGCACCAATACCTATCTAACACTGGCCGCCATAGCAGCCATCGACATACCGGCCAATATTATGGTAACAGTAATGCTTAACTATTTTGGTCGGAAAAAAGTATTATTTTTGCTATCATTGATGGCGGGTGTGTCGTGTTTGACTGCTGTAGTCATACCGCACGACAGCCAACTGGTCACACTGGTAGCTATTTTAGGTAAATGTATGATCTCGGCTTCCTATACACTGTTGTATATATATACGGCTGAGATCTATCCGACGCCAATCAGGAGTACATCAGTCGGCGTTTTTCAAACATTTTCAAGGATTGGTGGTATCATAGCTCCACATCTCATTGAACTTGTAATACATTTATTATTATTATTAATTAGTAGTATTTTTCAGTTGATATTAACTTTAAATGAAATATTATTTTTTTACTTATTAAAAACACACTAAAAAGTCATCGTTTGGCCAAAACATGCCACTAATAGCCTGCGGACTATTGGCACTCGGATGCTGTTTGTTGGCCATGAATCTACCGGAAACTCATAACAGACAACTTCCCGAAACATTTGAAGATACGGCTGACTTACGTAAACAACAACAGATAACTATTACTAATGATTGCGAAAAAAGTCATTTAATACCAACTGATAATAAAAATCAATTTTATGGATAAGAAAGATAAAGAAAATTGTTAGTATTTTTTTTATTAAATAAAAATAAATATTAGTTTTAATTTGTTGATTAAGTTTTTTTTGTTGTTGTTGTGTTTTTATTTAATTAATAACATTATAAACATTTTAACTTTATATTTGATTACTACTGTATTTAGCAAAATCAATTTTATCTACATTGTATGTGTATAATAAAAATATTTATAATTTTAAGTTTATATTTATATTTTTTTAATATAAATAATTTAATTAACTTATAAATAGATTTAATTGATTATAAATAATTTCTGCTTTTTTAGACTATTCATAAAATATTAATAATTATAGTATCATATTATTATTATTATTATTGAAAAAAGTTCAATATACCACATATCAATACTACAAAGTTAATAGTTGTTAATAGTTATACATAATATAATTAATATATAGTTAATAGTATTAGATAATCTAGTTAAGATATTCAAATTAAAAAATCAAATTATAAATAATTTATTTATTAATATTTATCTGCTTTGAAGCAATATGACTGTATAATTAAGCATAAATGTAAATATCTGAAAATAATTAAAAATAAAAAATTACTTTTTTTAAAATAAATAAATAAAAATAAAACTTATATTATGATGTTAATTATTATTATTTAAATAAATACCGCAATTAAAGTTGATTTATTATAGATACCGAAACCTCCGATTGAAAATACAATCGTGTTTTGTTTCAACACATCCTTAAAAAATATGAGTTCCCTGTACTCCATATCCGACAAACTGTTTGCTTTCAATGTGTCCAACGCTTCGTTAAGTTTTGCCGCTTTTGATTCAATTGAACCGCATATTAGACACGAAATGATTAGTTCAGACAAACGGGACAGACATGAAAAACACCAAAATATTACTATAAATCTATGTTTTTGTAAACCGTATGACATTTCTCTTTCAATAAATATCAAAATATATATTTGAAACATAACTGCAGTTATTGTGTACAATATGTTTAATATATTTATATATTGATGTCTATCGTTGACTACATTTATTAGATATCGGAGATTACAAAATTGATTTTTAATTGTTGAAATCTTATTCACCAATTTGTTGCTATTAATTTTGAAAACTAAAAAACATCAAAAATTAATTATTAATAGTGAATTTTTTTTTTAAATAATATTTATTGATCAAAATTTTTAGAATTAATTAAATTATTTTTATAAGCAATTTAATCAATAATTAATTAATTTAATTAAAGTTACCTAAGTTTTTATTTTCATCATTGATTAATTGTGTTAGTATTTCCAAATTATTTGAGCATGCCAATGCAATTAGCCAGGTACAAAACGGTATGATCCACATTTGCAATATTTCAATATAAAAATATATATTAGCAATCGATATTAGTTTATCAGTAGTATAAAGTACTAATGTTATCAAAAACATTGTTAATGTTGCCAAAAAATGTACTAGATAAAGTACTAGTATTTTGATGTAATTATTTGGAAAATTTTTCCTAAATTTGCCATTAATTTCTATTAGCTGGATAATAATATTGATTAATTTATAACCATTTTGACTATTCAAATCAAACATTATCATTGTTGATAACAATGTATTCAATAATTTCATAATAAATAAAGCTACGATAATTTGTTTAAAATGATTAACGTCCATTAATTTATTTTGTTGTTTAGCCTGATCAGATAGATTAAAAACTATACATATACCAATTAATAAAATAAAATTAATTAGTATTGTTATTATTGTAATAAATAAACCATAGATTTTATATAGACGTGATTGTGATAATGTTATAACATTATGATTAATAGTGATTTTTATGCCACCAAATGTTATGCCAATGAATCGATGTATAAACAAACTCATATATATTAATAATTGTTTACTAATAAATTTCATAGTTAAATAATTTAAAAAATATAGTTATTGAAACTAATTTTTTTTAAAATATTTATTTGAATTTTACTAAAATTGTAGATTTTTTTATGTAAATTATTATATTACTTTTTTATCATCTAAATAATAATAATCAATTTTAAATCCATATTTAGTTTATTATATTTTCTTAAAATGTAAATAATTTTAACTAAATTAATTCTACAACATTTCATTATTATAAGTTAATACTAATATTTGATTTATTAATTAAATAGAAAACATTAATAAAAATAATTAAAAAAAAATAGTTTTAAATATAGTATAATAAAACTTAATAATAATAATATATTAATAATAAAGTAAAATTCTAAAGTAATTTATTATAAATATTGTTTATAAAATAAAAATACATTAAACTGATAAACATATTGATTTATGACAATATTTAAATACATGAATTAGTTTAATAAAAATTATTAATAATTTTTTACTAAATTCAATAGAAAGAAATCAATAAAAAATTGAATATTAATATAAATTTAATTTTATAAAATTACAAGTTTATTTTGTTGCATTTTTTCGACAAAATTTACATTATATTCAATCACTAATTGATATAATTTAAATTAAATCTAAAAAATAAATAATTTTTGCATTTAAAAAGATTAAAAAATTTATTTATATTGAACTAATATTACTGTATAATTAAGCATAAAAGTAAATATCTGTAAAAATAATTTAAAAAAACATTATTAATATAATTGTAAAAAATTAATTAAATAATTATAAGATTTAAAAAAATACAAACCGTAATTAATGTCGACTTATTATAAGTACTGAAACCTCCGATTGTAAATCCAATTGGTTTCTGTCTCAACATATCCTTAAACAATATGAGTTCCTTGAACTCCATGTCCGACAAACTGCTAGCTTTCAATGTATCCAACGATTCGTTAAGTTTTGCAACTGTCGACTCAATCGAACCGCATATCAAACACGAAACGGTTAGTTCAGCCAAACGGGACAGACATGTAAAACACCATAATATTAGTAGAAATTTAATATTATTGATACCGTCGACTATTTCTGATTCAATATATAACAGTATATACAGTTGAATCATAACTACAAATATTGTATTCAATACATTCACTATATTTATATATCGATGTCTATTGTCTATAACATTAATTATGTGCCGGAGCTTTGAAAACTGTTGTCTGGATTTTAGAAATTCATTTATCATATTGTTTTTAATTTTTGAACCTTTAAATAAAAATACAAAACAATTATCGTTTAATTTTAATAATAATAATTTATAAACTATAATATATTTAAGTAATTAATTTGTTTACCAGAATTTCTATTATAATCATAGATTAAATCAGTTAGTCTTTCCAATCTATTACAACACACTACAGTAATTAGCCAGGTGCTAAACGGTATGATCCATGTGTACAATAATTCAACATACATATGTATATTACCTATAATTGAAATGTAATGGTTATTTAAATACATTATTGTAGTCATTATATAGGCAACGATTGTTGTTAGAAAATGTAGAAAATAAATAATCATTATAATTGGCTTAAATGATTTTCTACTATTATTATTATTCAATTGTGCTAGATCATTTTCGACAATTAGTTGACCAATTATATTAACTAGATCATAGCCGGGTTGTCTATTTAAATAGTTCATTATTAATGTAACCAATACAGAGCCTAATAGTTTCATTTGAAAACCAGCCAAAACAATCAATTTGAAATGACCAATGTTATTGCCTACAAGTTTATGGCTATTTGTTATAATATCTGAATTTCTATATAATTGATAAATGCCATATAATATTAACAAATTGATTAATGTCGACACACTGGTTATAAAGTAGCCATAGTATCTATATAATCGTGATTGTGTTGTTTTTAGATAATTATTATTATTATTATTAATATTATTGATTGTGGTCAATTTTAGACCGCCAAATGTTATACCAATTAATCGATAAAATATTAGTAATAGTTGTAATATTAATAGTGTTATTGATTTCATTTTTAATTAATTCATTAAATCATTAATTATTTTTATGATACAATAATCTAATTAAATTAAACATTTATGATTTTAATATATAAATACTAAATCTTTGAATAATTCTAACATTTATGTATTTTTAGTTAAATATATGTATATTTTAAATCTATAATGTTTGTTAAAAAAATAATAATATAAATCATTAATAAATCATTACTTAAACGCTATTATCATGATTAATATTTGTCTTACAATTTTGTATTGATTAAGTAAAGCAAAATTTTATGTTTATGTAAATACACTATCAAACAATACAAAAAATAGATATATAAAAATATTTAATTTAATGAAATTATATTGATTTTTAAATAGAAAAAAGTATTTTTTAGTTTCATTGAAAAATTATATTAATATGTTTATTGAATATTATTTTTGAAATAAAACTAACAAACATGTATTATATGCTAGACGTACAATAGGATTTATAGTATATACAAATAAATTAATAAATCAAACAATAATAATAATAATATAGCAAAAGTAGAAAAATTTATTTACAGTTAATGAAACAATTTTATGATATATACCTTTACAATGGCCTCAAAAAAACTAAATATAATCCGCGATTAATATATAAAAAAATAAATATAAAAACACATATAATAATAAAATAATACAAATAACTCAAATAATATTATATATTGTACTTTGCTTTACATTAAGACGGAAATCCTAATATTATAATTACATTTTATATATAGATTAACTAATTTTATACTTAAAATTATGTTATTTTTTGTTAAAAAAATAAGAAAATAAATATTTCAAATTTAGATTTAATTATAAATATTTTTTTATCGAATTTATATCAAATCATTAAAAAAATATTGATTTCTAATTTTTAAGTAACATTTAAAAAAAATCAGTTAAGAAAACAAACTATTTTAAATATATTATAGTATTTATTTAATTTTTAAATTATAAAATATATTTATTTTGTTTAAATAATTTTTATAAATTTAATTATAATATATAACACAATACACCATGTGATATGAAAAATTTTGTACTAGTAATATACAAGTGCAATTGTCATTGAATAATAAAAATTAAGTCTAATGTATATACAATTTAATTACATAATTATTAGGTAATAGTACAGCAATTAATTTATATAAAGTTTAGTACTGTACTTATTTATATATTCAAGTGTAGCTATTTTGTACCCATTTTATATATATATTAATTTTTTAATTATAGGGATTTAACTATTATTACTAACAAACTACTACTACTACTAAATATAATAATTTTGAGGCAATAAAGTAATTTAAATTTTATTACACAATTAAGTCTATTGTTTGGTTTTTTTAAAAAAAAATATATCTATATAAGTCTAGAGCAAAATTCATTATTTTTAACATTTATATTTAATTATTAATAATAAATAATTTTTGTCAATCACAATAAACAATTTATTTAAAAATCAAATTTAAAAATACAATATTTTTTACAATATTTTTATTGTTTAATTTTTTAATTAATTTAAACACCCACCCACCCGATTATTTATGTGCAGTTTAAGCTATTTCCAGAAACATTTCAAAATCGAACGTACGTCTAACATCTAAACGATCTGGCTAAATCAAAAAAATTAGAAGAAAACAACCTGGATAAATTAATATCAATTTTCTAATTGAGAGATAAAAAAACAATGGTTGGCACTACTACAAACTTGGAGGCATTTATGCACCTGGTCAATGGTCAAATTGGTAGCGGCATTTTATCCATGCCCAAAGCGTTTGAGTAAGTATGGGTGGGTGGGTGTGTGTGTAGGTGTGGGTGATTTTTAAGTATGATTTAAAAATAATTGATTTGATTATATTATTGATTTTACTAACTATTTGTATTAATATTATTATTTTTTGTTTTGTTACACTACTCTCTAGTGATGGCGGTTTAATAGTAGCGGCTATATGTACACCAGTTATCGGTATCATAACTACCTATTGTGTTCATCTATTGGTCAATGTTAGCGAACATGTATGCGAACAATTGGAAATACCTATACCCGATTATGAACAGGTATTGTAGGACAGTGCATATAATATTTATATAATTTATTATTACAATATTTATATATATATATTTTTAATAATAATAATAATAAATATAGCTAGCTGAATATACTCTGGCAATTGGATGGTCACCGGTAAAAAAGTGGTCGCACCTGGCTAAGATAGTTACCTCACTGTTCATAACATTGAGCCAAGTGGGTGCCTGTGCCGTATACTATCTGTTTATTGCTGAAAATCTAAAAGCTGTAAGTATTTTATTATTAATATTATTATTTATTACAAATTATTAATTATTTAAAAAAAACTACAAATATAATATATAAAATACTAACTTTACAAAAAATAACATTTTTATTATATTTATTATTATTATTTGTTATCTTGATAGTTTTTCGACAATCTAGCTAATGATACCTCCAACAACAACAACAATAACACTGGATTTACCATGTCACTAGACATGTACTTGCTCATATTGTTGCCAGTAATAGCATTGCTACAGTTTATCAAAAATGTACGCATACTAGCCATACCATCGACACTGGCCAATTTGCTACAGGTGCTCGGTTTGGGTATTATATTCTACAATATTGTCCAATTTGATCCAACAACCATTGGTACCAGAAAACAGGTCGGTTCCAAATTTCCACTCTATTTTGTGACAACTATATTCAATTTTGAAGGCATATCTATTGTATGTAACTAATAGCATAATATTTATTTAAATATACTAATAATAAATAAATTTATTTACATAAATTTTATTTATTTTTTGTTTCTAACATCCCTGTTAAAATAATAATAATAATAAGGGTATGCCACTTTACAAAACAATGGCCAACCCTAAAGCATTTGCCCGACCCATCACCGGCATTGTGGACATAACTAACATAATAATTGTATCATTGAATTTGTTTCTCGGTTTGTTTGGTTATCTAAAATATGGTAGTGATGTAGGAGCCAGTGTCACATTTTCAATGCCAAATGGTTAGTTAGTTTTATTTTTAATTAAAAAAATAGCTATACTATTCAGATAACATTCAAGTATATCAACAATATTTAGTTAGATTTATTACAATAATTATTTTTTTATATCTACATGTAATGTATAATTAATTAATTATTATTAATATATTTGTTTTATAGAACCAGTATACAATAGTGTACAGGTTATGTATGGTTTTGCCGTTTTGATGACATACCCGATTACAATGTATGTCCCAATTGAGATGCTTTGGCCCAAAATAAATCAGCGATTTATTGAAAATAAAATATCAACTGGTACAATTAATTTTATGGAATATATATTTCGAGCAGCTTGCGTCCTATTGACATGTATGTCTAATTTTTAACCTAGAAAAAATTATCAAGTTAATATTTTTAAATTGTATATATATATATAAACTACTAGATGCTATGGCATTATTAATACCTCACCTTGATATAATATTATCATTAGTTGGTGCACTCACAAGCAGGTATATATTTTCTTATATGTATTTAATAAACAATAATGTATCATTGTCAATTTAAATTTCTATAAAAAAAATAAAATTTAAAAAACACTACAATATCAATAAAATAAAATTTATTATTATCTTTATTATTATTATTTTTGCAGTTCAATTCAAATTTTGATACCAGCTATATTGCATACAATATGTTTTTGGCCATTATGCAAAAGTTTGTTTTTGTTATTGTTGCTTTTTTTAAAAAAAACTATTTTATTTATAATTTTATACAATAATTTTTTTTTGATATTAATATAATCCAGGTTCAAAATCACGTGTATTGCTATTTACTAAAAATTTATGTATTGTTGCTATTGGTTTTGCAGCGTTCATATTGGGCACTTACTATAGCATTGTTGATTTAATTGCAGCCATATAATTTTATACTAATATTAAATTATTGTATAATTAATAAAATTATTATTTTACTATATTATATATTTTATTAAAAAAAATATATTAATGTATTGTATATTTTTTATTAATTAATACTTAATTAACATGATTAATTTAGTTTTTAGCTCTATATAACACTATACCGGTATATAATAGTTAACAAAAATTAAAAAGTTATTAATAAATAAAAAGTATTCATTTTTTACTAATTCTAAGTATTATTTTCAACGGTTTTTTTATAAATAAATTATTAGTAAACAAATATTAATATAAATATTTATCAAAACTTTTATTTTTTGAATGATGTGTAAATACTTTATATTATTATTAGTTTAGCCGATATTGGGTGTGATGTTGACATACAATATGATAAAATGTGAATAACAATTTGATAAATATGTATTTGTTTTTAATAGTTAAGTAAAAATGATATCTATTGATGTATTGTAGCTGTATTATAATGTTGTAGCTATTTTATATAGTTATAAAAATATTAATTAAAACAATTTTATTATATAAATAAAATTATGATTACGGTAGTTAATAAAAATTAAAACAATAATTAAAATTACGGTAGTCAAATTTACAAATAATTTTTTTTAATTAATATAAATATAATTATTTATTCAATAAATATTATAATTTTTTTGTTATTGAAATAATACACTTTACAATAAATTTACAAAACAATAATTTATTATTTAAAATATTTATTTATTTTTGTTGCAAAACTTATTATTCTTACTTTTTATATTTTTAAGTGCAATTTGCATACAATAATAAATAATATTATAATAAAAATATTATATAATAATATTTGGTATATAAAAAAATTTATTATTTGATAAAAGTTTATATACGTCATAAGTATAATTTTTAAATGTAACCATTGGAAATAGTGATAATATTATAATCATTAATTTTATCAAATATTTTTTTTATTATTTATCATATAAACAAGCATGTATACTATAAAATTAATAATAATATTTTTAAAAAAGTTATTTTATAAAGACATGTGTAATAATAATAAATTTATGTAAATAAATAAAAAATAGTGAAATAATAAATATAAATAATTTATTTTTTAAATAAATACAAATTACATTGCAATTAAAATTTTATTATTATTATATTTATTAACTTTTTGATAATAAAAAAAATATTTTTAATTTGATTCAAATATATAAAGTTACCTGTTTAACTATAATTCAAGTACTAAGATAACAATAGTATATATATTTTTATTAGTATTGTGTAAATAAAAAATATTGTTATTTGAAAAATGGTTGATTATTGTTAATATAATTTATATCATTATATATGGTATATAATGCATATATTGTCTTATATTTATATACAGTAGATGTTTAAGTTGCTATAAATGTCTATTACTAGATTTTATTTCCTAAAAGTGTAATAATTTTAATAATAATAATAATAACAATAATAATAATAAAAAAATAGTTTTACAATTACTTGTAACAACAAAATATAAAAGATAAATATCATGGAAAATGTGATTAAAAAATGTTTAATTTGTGGCGATAGAGCATTAGGTAAATTAATTAAATTTAAAAAATAATTTATAATATTTATAAACATTTAATTTTATTATTATATTTAAGGCAACAATTTTGATGTACTATCGTGTCCATCGTGTAAAGCATTTTTTAGGCGCAATGCTATTAGAAAAAAGGTAATTATTTTTTATTATTATTACTAATTTTTAATTATTATTACTATCATATTATTATTGAACAAATACTGTAATTAATTTTCTAATATTTAAATATTATGTCTTTCAAAAAAAAAAATTATGAGATAAATAATTAAGAAAATAATTAATTAAATATATTATATTTATTATACTATTAGGAGTACAGTTGTTTATTCAACAACAACTGTCATATTGACAAACAAACGCGAAAATATTGTAAAAAGTGTCGATTAAAAAAATGTTATGCAATGGGAATGAAAAAAGTAATAATAATTATAATTTATTAATATGTTATTAGTATTATTAGATAAACTGGTTTTTATTTATAAAAATAAAAATACGAGATTTCATTACTAGATTTTTTTTTGACTCTAGGATTGGATACTATTGAATGAATGGAAAAAAGAAAATAAAAGAAAAAGTATTTCCGATGAAAATACTGAAAATACTGATTCGTTAAACAAAATTATTAAAAATTTTAATAATCATAATAATAATCATAACTTTAATAATGTTGTCAACGATACTGTTAATAGTATTCATAATAATCATAATAACTACAGTTTTAATGATAATAATGATAATAATAAGAGTGATAAACAAGAATCAGATAATGACAATACAGATACAGATATCATATTTGATGACATAATCAATGATAACAATATCACACCAGAGATACCGTCACCAATAGAGATAACCGACTTATTCGATGACATATCAGTGGATATGGATATCATGGCTGATATAGAGTCACAGATACAGGAAATTGCAGATCAAGTTGTGACCACAAACAATGAGCTCAACGGCACTGTTGGACGTCAACCACTACTACTACTACCACCACAAGAGTTATCATCATTGGCTGCGTCGGTGGCGGTCATACCTACCGTTGAACGACCTATACTACCCAACTATCGAAACACATTCAACGAACTGGAAGGTCTTAAGCTACAGGAGCTGATACGGGCAGCCAACATATTTCGCGACGTTCCCCGTGTATCGCAAACACAGACCATTGTATTCGGCTATAGACCGCCCAATCTATTTGAACGACATATGAGACGACTGACCAAAATGTGTCAACAGTTAACAGCATTTTCCAGTATATGTCAAACAGATGCCATAGCACTGGTCAAGTATGGATGTGTGGATCTGTTTTGTATGCGATCCGTACCTAACTATAACTGTACAGATGATAACTGGACATTTGCACTGGTAGGTAAAAAATACAGTAAAAATATATTGATAATAATTTTTCCAATAGTTTAAGCCAGATTTTATATACAAAATTTACAATTTTATTAATTAGCAAACTATTTTAACATTATTATTATTAAACTATAATTTGATTAAATAAATTTAGATCAAATTATTAGAAATTTTTTAGAAAATTAAACTTATTTTTTTTATTTATATTAAAAAACAAATATAAAAAGGATAATCAAGATTCCATAATAATCAATATGAAGGCCATAAAAAATTTTCCGTCAAATGTTTACCATTTTTCACGTAAATTTTATCATCAAATATGCCGCGAATGGGACACGGATTTAGTTATACTAGATTTGGTAATTAATAATTTAAAAAAAAACTAATAATTAATTAATTTAATTAATATATATTTAAATATTTGTATTCATATAGCTTACAGCAATTATATTATTTAATCCGGACAGACCTAATTTGCTACATAAGCATATGATAAAGTATATGATCTTTAACTTGAATTTTGTCAATTGAATTATTATTAATAATGTTTTTTTTAAAAATAATTATACATATAATAACATATGTCCTAACAATATAATATAGATATCATCAGCACTTATACCTGTATTTACTTCAACGATATCTACTATTGAAATACCGGACCGAAAGTGCAGCTCAACTGAAGTTTCGCCGTTTGATGAACTGTTTGGTCGACTTTAAAGTGTTGTCCGATTACGGCGGCGATCAAAGTGCTGGACATCTCTGTCGCCGCCGAAGTAACTCAACTATAGCTACAACAGTGACAACAGAAGCGGCGGCACCGGTACCATCAGCTGAGGGATGTGCTATCAATATGGACAACGATAAAAGCACCGAAAATACTACCCAAACAATACAGTTTCGTCCGTCACTAAGTTTATATACTATTATTTTAAGTCAAGTGTTTGAGTCCATGACTATTAACGATAACTAAAAGTAAAAGAAAACTATTTTTATTGTTATTTTTTATATATGTATATTTTTAACTTTATATATTTATATATATGTAATATGTATTATATATTATGCTTATTATTATCATTTTTAAACAATAATAACATTATGTTCAATTTTAATATATTAAAAAACAATAATTTTAAACAAACGTCTCAACAAACAAAAAAAAATTAAAAATAAAATCTTGATATCAATTTTTTTAAAACTATTTTAGATTATATTTTATATCAAAAATAAATATTGATTTTTAATAATTTATTATATCATTATTTTTATAAAAATTAGATATTTAATTAATTTTTTTTTTTAATTATATTGATAATTATTGTCTACCAAAAGTAATCTTTCCAAATGCCTTCACATGAGTCGGCGTATGGATTGACTAATAGATGAGATCTATCCTTAAGATTGATATCTTTGACTATTGTCGGCTCATTTGATTTTCTCGGATCCAACATAACTGGCCAATCGTCACCCGGATAACTTGATAAATATAAGTTAAGTTATATAATCAATTTAATATAGACAGAAACAACAACAACAAAACTAATGACAAAAGTGAGAGTTAAAATAGTTATTAAAAAAATTTATATAAATATTTTGTTAAAAAAGTTAAAAGTTAAAAAAGTAAAATTAATTCTTAATTAAAAATATTTTCTACTATTTTTAATGTTTAAAAATAGTAAATAACTTACAGTCAATAGTGTTTAAGTTAGTTAGATAATTGCGTTATTTTATATAATCTAATATAAATATTATATAAATCCTATAATAAATTATTATTAATAATCAATAATTATAAAGTTTTTTTGTAGTTTCAATTAATACAGTATTTTTAAGAAGAAGTTGTGTTATAATTTCATTGAATTTTTTTAGTAATTAACTAAAGTAGACTCCATTGGTTTGGACTACAGTAAACATAAAGACTATTAGATGAAAATTAAAATATGAATGTATTTGTACCCAAATTTAATAAAATTAGTCCAAATTTCCATAACATATTGGGTAAAATTTTTGTCAACTTCGCTATAGTTATCTGGATATCTCAGCGGAACACCGATATGAAAGTCGGCATCCAAGCCGTGTTGACTGCCGTTAAGTACTAAACCAGATTTTACTAAAAACTCATATTGGGGATTAGATTTGGTAAAATAATTAAAATCATAATAATAAACCCGTTCCCCATTCATAGCCAAATGTTTGGCAAACGTATAGGTCGGACAACGCATGAGTACATCGCCGTAAATGTCGGTAAAACGACGGCGATTGACCGTATGGTTAAAAGTGTCGATATCTGATGTATAATGTTTGATAATTTTGTCGATATCAAAGTCATGGTGCTGGTCATTCATCCTTTCCAACAATTGGCCAAACTTTTCTATCGACATGTCCGGTAATATTATATCGGGAAACGTTACGGCAGATATAGCCGGTCCCTCATCTCGTGTACTGCCGGCCATCAGCTCGATATCTATGTGTGTGTTTGTGTGTGTGTGTGAAGTAATTAGATATTATTATTATTTGAAATTTCCTCAACATTATCCGTACCTCTATTATAGTTAAAATATTTTAACGCTTTGTTAAATAGTTGCGGACAAAATTCTGTCTTTTCATTCGGTACCGTAAAATCAATGACAACAAAAGTTGAAGATCTGACCAACAAATTGTATGTATTGTTAACGGCCCGTAAACACGGAGCTATTGGTTTGTCTAGTGGACAGTTGTTATTTATGGCCAGTTTTCTTGTTAAATTCATGGCCGCTTTTTTAGACAAAACTGGTTTATTTTTATTCCAGATGAGAGCACCGCTGCTCATAATTGCCCGCTTAAACAGACCTCTAGATAACGGCGACACAATGTGTGTGGACACTGAAAAACTACCGGCGCTAACACCGTAAATGGTTACCATATTAGGATCACCACCGAATGACCGTATGTTTTGCTGGACCTATAATTTGAGTTTTAAATAATATCAATAATAATAAAAATAATACTAATACTGACCCACTTAAACGCTAAATTTTGGTCATAAAATCCAACATTGCCCGGACCTGAATCGTCGTCCAGCATATACATGCCTAACGGTCCGATACGATAGTTCAAAGAAACGGCTACAATGCCATAAGTGGCTAAAATACTGCCATTGGACTGTTCAATATATGCCGAACCGTAACTGAATCCACCGGGAAATAAGATGATCACAACGGGCTTTAATTTGCTATATGGTCTGCCATTTTGCAGATATGCCCGTTCGGGGGCCCAAACGTTCAAATGTAGACAGTCTTCATCCTCTTTAAACCATTCAAATGCTTTAATATGTTTATTGACGTTTTGATAGCACCAAACACCTTCACTCTTATCTTTAACTTCAATAATATCCTATTGTTTGTGTTTAATAAGTTATTTTATTAATTTATATAACGTATATAATACTAACTTTTTCAGGACGTCTTAGTGGAACCGGTCGGGCAAACCGTAGTTCACCGATTGGCGGTTCGGCGTACGGTATACCCAGATATTCGTTAACACCTATATCTGGTATGGGATGTCCCTTAACAATGCCCGATGTCGTAGCAACAAGTAGTCCATTATCATCATCATTGGTGTCGGTAGTAGTAGTAGTAGTAGTGATAATAGATATATGACTGTAGACTATCAAAATTACTAACAAAATTACCATGTTCATTGATTATATATAACTAATTGACAATTACAATTACATCTAATTACACATATTTATTATTAATGATTATTAATTAAAAACATATTTTCAAAAATTAATAAAATATACGATTGTTTATTGTATTATAAGTAAATATAATAAATATTTATTTGTTTTTAAGTTTAAATGCCATTTATTAATTAAATAAATAAAATTATTTCATAAGTACTAGTATATTGCACATAAAATTTTTTTTTATTGAAAATCACTAATTTATATTTAATTAAATGAATAACATTTATGGAAATTTTCTTTAATTACAATTTTATATCTCTAGAAACATAATACAATAAAATATATAACTACTATACCTAACATTCAAGTATAACTATTGTATAGTTAAATAGATACTTAATAATTATTATTTAATACAGTATTTACACGTACTATAAAGGTAATTATTATTACTGTTATTTAATATCTTTTTTATTTTTCATGAGGGGTGGGGGTAAAATAGTTGAAATAGTCTTATCATATATTGAATCAAATCAAATATTGAAATATTAATTGGTCATACCCTCTATACCCCTCAAGCACTTAAAATAAAATAACTTAAAATAATAATATATTTTTGTTAATTTCTAAAATTTTAGTTTTAAAGTTTGAGGGATAGGATCCTAAACATTTATGAGGGTGAAATGTCAATACCCTCTCTTACCCCCCCCCAGCTCACAGATCTGTTTAAATACATATACCAACTATTTTTTAATAACATATTATATTTTTTTAAATTTTGGATTTAGTTATAAAATTTTTAATTAATTATTTATTTTGTTGTCTACCAAAAGTAATCTTTCCAAATACCTTCACATGAGTCGGCGTATGGATTGACTAATAGATGAGATCTATCCTTAAGATTGATATCTTTGACTATTGTCGGCTCATTTGGTTTTCTCGGATCCAACATAACTGGCCAATCATCGCCCGGATAACTTGACAATTAATATATATATATATAATAAATTAGTTTTTTAAGTATAACAAATTTATAGTATTTAAGTATAAAATAAATTTTTGAATAATAATAGTTTACATAAACTGTATTTTGAAAATTATGTACTGTACTAGTAATGTGACTATTTTTTAATTAATAATTAAATTTTACAATTTAAATAAACTATTAACTAAAGAAATATAATAAAATATGCTATTATTATTAATTTGTTAGATAGTTAATTGCGTTACAATATAATAATCAATAATTTAATGTTTATTTAGTGTAGCAATTAATGTAAAGGTAACTACGGATTGTAAAGTAGTATAAGTACTATTGAATAACTAAAAATCAAAATTAAATTGTATAAAAATTTGCTAAAATGTAGTAAATTTCTCAAAAAATATATTTAATAATTACATTATAATTTTATTGTTATTGATTAGTGACTAAATAGACTAATCACTGTTAATAGGAAACGAAGATTACTAAATTTATTTGATTATTATAAACTATTGAATATATATATATAGTATATATTATATACCCATATTTAATAAAATAGTAAATTAATTAGTTAGACAATTGCGTTACTTTATAGTAATCATTAATTTAATATATATATACCCATATTTAATAAAATTAGTCCAAATTTCCATAACATATTGGGTAAAATTTTTGTCAACTTCGCTATATTTATCTGGATATCTGAGCGGAACACCGGTATGAAAGTCGCCATCCATGCCGTGTTGGCTACCCCTAAGCTCTAAACCAGTTTTTTCCAATAACCATAAAGTGGGATTATTTTCGGAATAATAATTGAAATCATAATAATAAACCCGTTCCCCATTCATAGCCAAATGTTTGGCAAACGTATAGGTCGGACAACGCATGAGTATATCGCCGTAGATTTCGGTAAATCGACGGCGATTCTGGTTATGTTTGGATGTGTCGATATCTGATGTATAATGTTTGATAATTTTGTCGATATCGAAATCATGGTGCTGGGCATTCATCTTTTCCAACAATTGGCGAAAATTTTCTATCGATATGTCCGGTAATAGTATATCGGGAAACGTTACGACCGAAATAGCCGGTCCCTCATCGTGTGCGTTGCCGGCCATCACCTCGATATCTATGTTTGTTTGTTTGTATGTGTGTGTGAATGATAATTAAAATTCAATGTTTTTTTTTAATGAATTGAAATCAATATAACAATACCTTTATTATAATTAAAAGATTTTAACGCTTTATTAAATAGTTGTGGAAAAAATTCTGTGCTTTCAATGGGAACCGTAAATTCAAAGGCATTGTTAGTTTCCAATAGATTATCCGTATTTTTAACGGCCCGTAAACACGGAGCTATTGGTTTGTCTAGTGGACAGTTGTTATTTATGGCCAGTTTTCTTGTTAAATTCATGGCCGCTTTTTTAGACAAAACTGGTTTATTTTTATTCCAGATAAGAGCACCGCTGCTCATAATTGCCCGCTTAAACAAACCTCTAGATAACGGCGACACAATGTGTGTGGACACTGAGTAACTACCGGCGCTAACACCGTAAATGGTTACAGTATTGGGATCACCACCGAATGAATGTATGTTTTGCTGGACCTATAATTTGTGTTTTAAATAAAATTTAAAAAAAAAATAATAATCTATTACTAACCCATTTAAACGCCAAATTTTGGTCATAAAATCCAACATTGCCCGGACCTGAATCGTCGTCCAGCATATACATGCCTAACGGTCCGATACGATAGTTCATAGCAACGGCTACAATGCCATAAGTGGCTAAAATACTGCCATTGGTTTGTTCACTATATGCTGAACCGTAGCTAAATCCACCGGGAAATAGGATGATCACAACAGGCTTTAATTTTTTAAAGGGTCGCCTACTTTGCAGATATACCCGTTTGGGCGCCCATATGTTTAAATGTAGACAGTCCTCATTTTCTTTAAAATTTTCAAATATACTTAAAATTTTGTGGACGTTTTGAATGCACCATACACCATCGTGTTTAGTTTTTATTTCAATAATTTCCTATTGTTTATGTAGAGTATATTTGTAAAAAAAATAAATATTATAATTATATCATAGTATTTGTAAATTCAATAAGTTTTTATGATGTTTAAAAATAAATAACATCTAAAATATAACTATTAGCTATTATTACATTATAAACATTTAGAAATTATACTTTACAATATGTTTAATGTTATCAGGGTTAAGCACTTAGATTATAATTGGGGGGGGTCATCTTATTGCTTAAAGATTTTAACTACACTCAAACATTTTCTAACAAAATTAAAAATAAAATGTCGTAAAAATCATTAATAAGTTTACCCCTCCCATCTCCTCTATATTCAACATTATTTTTATTTTACTCTATTAAATCAGGGTTGCTAAAGGTTTTCGATTTCACGGGGGGGGGTATAGTATTATATTTATTCTACTCTAAACTCTTTAATAAAAACATTTGCGTCACAACTAAAGTATAATATTAAATATTAATTTATTTCTATACACTATATATATATGTAAAGTATAAACACTTTATGTTTGAAAATAACTTTAAAATATCTATATTTCACTAAAATATAGCAATAATTTAATTATCAAATAGACTTAAATTTAGCATTTTTGCAAATTATAGAAAGTAATTACTTTTCAAATAACTGCCGACTATTTTATGGGTCAAGTATTGCCTAAAATCTCTATATAAGGGTCAGCACTGACCTTACATTTTATGCTTAGATATACCTGTGCTTCACGACTGCAACATATAAACTAAATTGTAATACAATTTCATATTAAAATAAAATGTTTTAATAAAAATAAAATTAGTTTTTTTTTTAATCTATTGGTGCGTCAAATGAGTAAATGGCGTAAAATTCAACTAATGTTTTACATATATATAATAAATACTAACTTTTTCAGGACGTCTTAGTGGAACCGGTCGGGCAAACCGTAGTTTACCGATTGGCGGTTCGGCATACGGTATACCCAGATATTCGTTAACACCTATATCTGGTATGGGATGTCCCTTAACAATACCCGATGTCGTAGCAACAAGTAGTCCATTATCATCATCATTGTTGTTAGTATAAGTGCTAGTAGTGGCGGTAGATTGATAACTGTAGATAACTAATCTAATCACTAAAAAAATTATCATGTTTAAATTAATATTATTATCATACAATTACATATAATTAGATTAGATTTAGCTACCATGATTAAATTAATTTAACACTTAATAAACAACAATATTTATAATTATTATTTGATTTTTAAATTGAATATTATTTATTTAATGCCATATATTTATTATAGTATTTATTATGTTTTAAAAATTTATTTCTAAATATAAATATATAAAACATATTTATTACTTTTATTAAAAAATATTAATTACAGTTTTACTGTAAAATCAAATAAGTTACATTTTTGATAAACATTATAACTTTATATGAAAATATTTATTTTAATTAAGAATATTACATATTATAAAAAGACAAATATTTTTTTAAAAAATATTAGAAAATTATTAAAATTTATGTCGTATTTAATTAAAAAAATCCTAGATGATGTATTTTTTAAAAAATTATTATTTTAGTTATTATAAATTATAACTAATATAAATATAAGACAAATACTGTAAAAAAAATTTCAATTACATATAATAATCTTTCCAAACATTTTCACATGTTTCATTATATGGACTTTTTAAAATAGTTACCGTATCGTTTATATTAAGCAATTTTATTTGAATATCATTATTCAAATTTATCGGTAACATTAACCTGGGCCAATTGTTATTTGGACGGCTAGTATTTGTTTTAAAAAAATAAAATAAAATTTAATTAAATATTATTTTTAAAAAAAAATTATAATTTTATATATCTATCTATAATATAGATTCTATATACTACTACATAATTATAATTATAATTATTATTATTATTATTACCCATATTTAACAAAAGCTGTTAATAAGTACAAGAGTTTTCGGCTAAAATATTCCTCTTCATTATTATATAACTGTTTGTCTATCAATGGTTTACCAATAAAAAAGTCGCCATCACTGCCATGTTGGGCACCCCTTTTTCCAATACCAAATGAATTACTCATATTGACATAACTATTTTTGTAGTTTTCATATTTAAACAAAAAGTAAAATACATTTTCGCCATTAATGGCCAATTGTTTGGCAAACGTATAGGTCGGACATGTAATCATCATATCGCCCAACAGGTTGACAAACCCGCGTTGCAATTGTTTTGGATCATCGCTATCGATGCCAATCATATAGTGTTTGCTAATGCTTTCCATATCTTTAATATGATATTTAGCTTTCAATTTGACCAACAATTGATTATATAAGTCAAGTGTCATATTTTTTTCGGTGATCTCTGGAAACATTATCAATGCCATAGCAGGTCCCTCATCATCCACTGTGCCGGCCAATACATCTATATCTATATATATATAAATATATACAGATAATGAGCCAATTAAAAGTATAAATTTGAGTAATATGTGTACGTGTACAGTTAACTTTACGCTAAGCAAGGTAATTTAGTATACAGTTAGCTTATAATAGATAAGTTATATACAGTACCTTGCTAAAGCATTAGATAATATAACTCAAATTTAAACTTTTAAGTGGCATAATCTGTATATATATATGTATAATACAGTATTATTTAGCTAATTATGTTATTTTTGTTTGTTAGTGTTGTGTAAATAAAATAAAATAAATAACAGAAAACTAACCAGGATTAAATAGTGAATATTTAAACGCTTGATTAGTCAGATGCGGTATAAACTCGGTTCCCTCGACAGGTCTGGTAAACGAATAGTCAAACAGTTTGTCCGGAATGTTCAACAGTTTGTTTGTGTCGTTTATTTTGCGCAAACACTGTACTATCGATCCGTTTTCGGGACAACCGTTTTTTGTGGCCATTTTGCGTGCCATTACCAATGCTTGGCTGGTGTTGAGTGTCGGCGATATTTTACTATAAATTAGTGCACCGCTGCTCATAATGGCCCGTTTGAACAGACCTCTCGAAACTGGTGATATGATATGGGCTGAAACCGATAGACTGCCGGCACTTTCGCCAAAAATTGTTACCAAATTAGGATCGCCTCCAAAGGAACGTATGTTATCTTGAATCTATTAGTAATCAGTGTAGTAATTGATTATTATTTTAATTATATTTAAAAAAAATATTTTTCAAATTCAATTAAATATAGAAGTTATGGCAAAATAACCATTATCGCCTATTTTGTCAATTATTTTATATATATACTGGTACGTCAAATTTTAAATATAATAAAACTACTACTAACCCATTGAAGTGCTAATGCCTGATCATATAAGCCAACATTACCGGGCGCTGAGTCGTCATCTAACATATAGAAGCCCAACGGTCCGACCCGATAGTTAGGCGAAACAACCACCAAATCGTGACCCGCCAAAACGCTACCGTTGCTGCTGTCCATGAAAGCCGATCCCTGGCTAAATGTTAGACCATAAAACTTGACCAGCACCGGCTTTAGTTTATTATAGGGACGGCCGTTGCGCAGATAGCCTTGTATCGGTGCCCATACGTTCAATACTAGACAGTCCTCGGTTTCGTGGATGTTTGATCCCAACCATTTTTTGTATTTTGAATTTGTATTTTGTATACACCAAATACCACCAGATGTTTTGTTAACATCAATTATTGTCTATTAATAGAGAGATAAAGAGAGAGAGAGAGAGAGAGAGAGCACCGATAGTTAGCATTAATTAAGTTAATCATTTTATTGACATACAGTTGATTGTTTCAATAGTGGCATCGGTCGGGCAAATCTTAGATTATCGACAGGCGGTTCGGCAAACGGTATGCCAAGAAACTCGTTAACGTCTAGTTGTGGCAAATAATAGCCGGTAACCACTCCCGATGTTGTACTTATAAAAACTTTATCGTCCGGTGCATACATATTCCCATTGTTTCTATTGACTATTATAATGATTATTATTATTGATATTAATAGATATCGAATAATTATCATTGATATTATATAATTTGACATTTTATTTTGTTTTTGTTGATTGGAAATATAATAATAAATCAAATGTTTTATTGATTAAATATCATTAAACATATACTGTATATTTGTTTATACAAATAAATATAATATTTTTTTTTTAATGTACAGTATTATAAAATTAAACCATATGTTTAATACACTATTAATTAATTAGTTTTAAAATTAACTAATTAATGCAATCATCAAATATCTAAAATATTTAATACAATTATTTTTTAAATAGTGCTACATAGTTATAAAAAAAACTTTATTGATTTATAATTTATACTTTTTTAAAATTATATTTGTCATACTTAATATACTATTCATATTTTAAAAAAAAAAACATTGTGATATAAAATATAATCTTATATATTATTATAGATATAACTATTTATTAACTTTTATTAATATAATATTAGAATTTTTATAATACAGTATTAGATCAGATATTAATCTAATAAATCAATATTATTATACAGTAATACAATATACAACTTTTTTTTAAATTTATATTTCATTTATTTTTATTAAATTTTTTAATAATCAAAAAAAATATTGTATTATTTATTATATATATATATGTATATCTTATGGTTACAAATAGTATTGTTTCCAAATATTTTCACAATTATTTTTAAACGGATTAATCAATACTTTTGTTTTGTCGTATGGGTTCAAGTCTTTAACTATGGGCTCATCGTTTGGCTTAATTGGATTCAATAGTACCGGCCAATGATCGCTGGGTTTGCTTTTTTATTTTAAATTAAAATTAAAATACACATTATATAAAAAATAATTAAGATATTTATAAATTAAATAAATATATAATTTTTCAAAATATAAATAAAATTTTAATATATATATATATATAACTATTGTCTTATAATCTTATAATTAAAGATATTATATTTTGTTGTTGTAATTGAACTAATTATTAAATGCATTGTATTGAAAATGTTTGTTCAAATTTTATTTTTTTTACTAAATAACTAAAAATACATAAAGTATAATAAAATAATTTACCTAAATTTAGCAAAATTAGTCCAAACAGTTAGCAATCTGCTGCTAAAATTAGCGTCCAGTTCATCAAAAATCTCCCTATTGACCACTGGTCGACCCAAATAGTATCTGAAATCATTGTAATGTATGGCACCGTTAGTTTCGATGTCCAATGTTTTCAAATAAGTTTTTAGCCAATCGTAGCCATTTGTGCTTGTATGATTAAACTGATAGAAATAAACTAGGTCACCATTGAGGGCCAGTTGTTTGGCAAAAATATACAATGGACATCTAACTAACATATCGCCAATTAGATTTAAAAATGTACGTTGCAACAATTGTTTGCTGGCATCTGGTTTAACTAGATAATAGCCTAGTATTTTATCAATGTCAATTTTATTATAATAAATTTGGCTTAATTTATCAATCAATTTGTGAAATATGTCCATGGTCATGTTTTTATAGTCCAGGCTATCAATGATTTCTGGTCTCATAAACGACGCAACATACGACCCCTCATCGACTACCGTACCGGCCATTACGTCAATATCTATATACAGTACATATATATATATATTTCAGGGTTAAGCAAGGTTTTCGATTTTAAGGTGGTGTCTAGGGAGGGGTCAATTTACAAAATTTTCGAAAAATCTTGGGAGGGGGGTCTAGGGTGGGATGTAGACTTTTATTGTATTTTTAAACGAGAATTTTTCAAAAATCCAAAATCAATGGGTGTAAAGAGAAAATTTGGATTGACCCACCCCCCCTACCCCTTGCTTAACCTTGATATATATAAGGGTTAGGTTAGATTATTTTATTGGTATGTCAAATTAATTTAGTATTAATCTAGATTAAATTATAAATATATATTAAAAACTAAGGACTAGATATTTATAGTTTTATGTTTTTTAAAATAATTTTTTTTGCTGCTATAAAAAATTTATTTATGACAGTTTACAATACTAAAGTAAATAACCTTATTTATGATTTTATGTATCTATATACTAAAAATTTAAAAAGTTTGATTTAATTGTTATTATTTTTGTTGTTGTTATATTGACTCTAATATGATTTAAATAATTATTTTTAAATAAATAAAAATTATCGATTTTAATACCTGGATTATATAATAGGTATTCAAACGTTTTTTTCGACAAATGTGGCAAAAACTCTGTGCCCTCAATGGGATATATATACTCAAAGTAGTGATGTTTAGCGGGCAGCGACAGCAATTGTTTTGGATCGGCTACGGCACGCAAACATTTGGCCAGCGATTGGCTGTCCGAACAGTTATTACGTTTGGCCAGTTCACGGGTTTTCTCGATGGCCTGCTCTTTAGCCATTGATGCCCGAAATTTGCTCCAATTTAGTACACCGCTGCCCATTATGGCCCGTTTGAACAATCCTTTAGACATAGGTGATATAATATGAGCCGACACCGATATACTGCCGGTGCTGACGCCAAAAATTGTTATACGATTACGATCGCCGCCAAAGCCAACAATATTATTATGAATCTTATGTATGTATATATACAGTATGTAAGTGTGTTTGTGTGTGTGTGTGTGTGTGTGTGTGTGTGGCGGAACTGGTATGATTAAAAGTGATCATATGATGTTGTATATGTTGTACAACTCACCCATCTAAGTGCTAATAGCTGGTCATAAAAGGCTACGTTGCCCGGTGCCGAGTCGTCGCCAGGGTCTAGCATATAGAAACCAAGCGGTCCGAGCCGATAGTTAGGCGATACTACTATTACGTCACGGGTTGCCATTTGGCTACCGTTGGCCGTTTCCATGTAGGCCGATCCGGTACTGAAACCGCCCGAATGAAACACAACTATTACTGATTTTAGTTTATTATACGGACGACCATCGTATAGATGAAACTGTTTCGGTGACCATATGTTCAAATGTAGACAATCTTCTGATTCGGGAATAGGGCCTAATTCGGCCTTAAATAATGGACTGGCATTTTGTATACACCAAACACCTTCACTACGATCTTTTAGACCTATGGTTACCTAATTTATTATTTTCAAAATAAATAAATAAATATTAATTAATTATATTTAGAAATACAGTAATGTTGGGTTTGTTATTGTAATGTAAATATTTTTTATTTAAACTAGCCTTTTATTTTTATTTGTGAAAAAAAATCTATAATTTTAATATACAATATGTAAGTTATTTTTATTATTAATCCCAAATTTAATTTACATTACTGAATTAATATAACTTTAGTTTAAATTGTTACTTTATTTAATACTTTATTTATTATTACTATCAATAAATCACATTGAATGTATAATTATAATAATTTATGATAAATAAAAAAATAATATTCAATAAGAGAATAATAATTTCTAATATTAATTATTATAAATATTATTAACAAATATTTTTGTTATATCAGTTACATTAATATAGATATGAATATAAGATCAAAAGTTTAAGGTTAAATGATTTTGAGTTCATAAATTAAATTAATTTTTTCAATTTTATTAGCTATTGTTTATATTATTTTTAGATATTTTTTTTGAAGAAAATCAAATTTATAAATTTAAAATAAAACACAAAACAAAAAAACACATCTTTACTAACATTTTTCCTGATCGATAGCGGCACCGGTCGGGCAAACCTGAGATCACCGACTGGTGGTTCGGCATACGGTATGCCGAGATATTCGTTGACATCCAGTCCCTCTAACTCATGTCCCTCAACGATACCCGATGTTGTACTAACATATCTTTTGTTGTTTTGTTGTCCAAAACAGTCATATTTAACTAATATACTAATGATTACTAAACATATTTTTATTATAAATAGATTAATATTATTCAATAAATATTGTTTTAACATTTTGAATATTAACTTTTTTTATTAAAAAATAAATTATCTAAATATTTATTTATTAAATTTATATTAATATTTTTTTTAAAATGTTTATATTTTTGTCACTTGATATCAATATAAAGGGTTAATATATAAAAAAATAAATTAATATATAAAACCATATTTGTTTTACTACTGCAGTTGTATAGTATTTTTTCTCTCAATAAATAACATAAACTTAATTTTATTAATTCATTTAATGTTATTTTTTAAAATAAATATTGTAATTAAATTCACAAAATAATATTCAAAATTATTATATTATATTAAAAATTTAGTAAAATTATATGATTTTACTATATAATAAAATTAAAAAATACTTTAAATAACTCATTAGATGTTTGGTTAAATATAGATTAAATTTATATATATTAATTATTTTAAAAATACTAATTTTACTAATATTTATGCCAAATTTATTAAAATAACTTTTTTCTATTATTTAAAAAAATATATTTAAACTTTTAGATAAAAAATATTATAAATAAAATACGACAAAATTTTGTTATTTTACTACCTTATTATATAATTATTTGCATTTAGTTATTTTATAACTTTATAAACATATATCTACAGTATTGCTATCTATTTAGATAATAACTTTAATTAATGCTAAAATGTATATAACATTTATACATGTATATACTGTATATATATTGTACTACTGTATATAATATTAAATTGTGTAATGTTAAAAAGTTATTTTTATATAAAATAGTAAAAAAAAATTATAATGTTTTAATAATTTTTAATTTATTAAAAAAATATTTAAATTCATTTAGTTTATGTTACATAGATTTTTATCTATATAAAGCATTTATAAATTTTATTTTGAAAACAAATTGCATGTTTATAAAATTAAACAGTTTAGTTAATTATTATATAATTTGTTTTTTTATCGATAATTTATATTTTATTTTTTCTAATTATTCGTATTAACTATATAATCATGTAAACACACACACATATAATTATAATTGCAATTTATCAATACTAATCATATTTACTAAAATAAATAATACAATACTAGTTAACACTTAACATAAATTATAATCAAACCTAAAAATCAAAAAACACAACATAAACTTTTTATTTAAACAAAAACAAAATTAATTTCACTGTCTATTTAGATTTATTAGTTATAATTTATTTTATTTTTTTTTTGTATAGTATATAAAGTGTTGAAAACAAACAAACAAAAAGTATTATTTAGAAAAAAACAATAATAATAATAATAACAAAAATAAGTGTTAAAAATGTTAAAAATGCATATACTATTAAATTGTTTTGTAAATTTTTGTATAGTATTTAATATTATTATTAATTTCCAATGTGCCAATGCAGTAAATCAACAAAATCATTTTAAATTAGACATTGTTCAACTAGATCATATGCCCGATCCGGACCTACTATTTCAAGGTACAGGTGCTAGTCAAGCATTATTGGCACCTGTAGTCGCCAACAACAACAATGGTGATGGTATGATGTCGGCTACCGATTTAATTGCCGCCCAAACTACTGGCCATCATCAGCAACACCATTACGCAGCCGATAGCGGCCATCATGGTGGTCACGAGTCGAAAAAACATGTTGGCGGACACCAATGGGGTAACAAGGGCTGGGACCAAGGTCATCATAACAAACATGAAAGCGATTGGGGCAAACAGGGTGGTCATAAACATGGTGATCAACAACAATGGGGTTAGATATATAAATAAATATATTTTTCTGTTATGTTAGTTTTCTAGTTAACTAATGTCTAAATGTTTTTTTTAAATTTATTATTTTGTTTTGGGGAACATTAGCCGATAAACATCATAATAAACATGGTCTGGACAAACATGGCGATAAATGGGCACAGCAGCATGGTGGCAATAAAAAAGCCCATCATAATACCTGGGCTGATAAGGCTAACTGGAATAAGGATAAGGGAGATGGCTATGTAAAAACATGGCACTGGGATAAACAGGCCGGCAATAAGGACAAACATGGCAACCAGGGTGGTCATCAGGATCATCATCATAAAAGTTCACATGGGTATATATTTAATTATATTAATATATTGCTATGTGTGCTATTTTTAAATAAAAATAATTATAACTGTAATAATAATAATATTTTTTTTATAGACATAAAGATGGTATTAAAACTTGGAAGGACAGTCACGCTGGCAAACATGGCCATAAGCACCAGGATGCTAAAAAAGTAAAATTTTTAATAATATAATTTATATAAGTAATTATTTTTTTAGTAAAAAAATTTTTTTACACAATTAAATTTATGTGTTCGTAATAATTTAGCACTGGGAAGACCATGGCAAACATTATGGCAACTCCGGTGATAAGCACCATGGTCATAAAAAATGGGCTCATCAGGGTCCTCATTGGCAGCAACATCATAAAAATACTAAATACTCGCATCACAACACCGGTGGACATGGAAGCCATGGTGGATATGGAGGTTATGATGGTGGTCATAGTGATCATGGTAGTGGTTACGGTGGTGGTGGTGGTGATTATCATGGTGATATTGGCTACGACTCACATGATGTGCACAGCGATGATATTGGCGACCATAGCTATGATGGACATAACAGTTACGAGGGATCTGATTACTAATATAATTAAATATTTATTTATTTTTTCTCCTCAATAATTGTGATATATCTATAATATTTTTTTTGTTGAATAAATATAAGGCAATAATATATACTGTATATTTTTTTATATAATTATATAAATAAGTTATATATACTGTATATATAGAAAACTGTAATATTTTATACAATTTCTAGTATTGTTTTGTAATTTTTGTGATTTCCTGGGGTAATATTTATTAATTTATTTAATATTGTATTTAATATTTTGTTGGTGTATTTTGAATTTCCATAATAAATTATTATTTTTAAAAATAAATAAATTATTTAAAGTTAATATATATTAATATTTATATATAAGTTATAAATATTTTATATTTAAAAAAATAATTAACATTTATAAATATTTGTATTTAAATAAATACTAATTTAATTATCAAATAGATATAAAGTTAATATTTTTTTTGTCATTAATATCAAACATTTTACAATTAATAACTCTATTATACTTCAAATATTAATACTGTTAGCTATTTAAAAAAAACTCATTTTTTTTAAATATCTAAATAAGTGATTGTACTGACCATACAATTCATGTTTATGATATACCTGTGCTTAACGACTGTAACAATGAAACTAAAAGTATAACACAAAGTCATGTTCAACTAAAATGCTTTAAATTACAAAATATAATTAGTTTTTAATTTATTGGTAGACCATATGATTAAATGCCCTAAAACTTTATAAACTAATGTTTAACATAAATAATCTATAATAATTTATTAGATAGTATAATAAATATATTTAATTATAATTTAAACTAATTTATCATATTATAATATTAACTTTATAATTAAAATAATTTTTTTAGAGTTAAAATTATCTGTAACTTAATTTAAATATAATTTAAATAGTACTGTATATATAATGATGGATATTTAAAAAAAATTAAAAATGTTATTTAATAATAATTTTAATACTATTAAGTAGTTAAGTAAAAATATTATTAAAATAATAAAATTATTATTAATTTACCATTAAAAAATTTATATTAATTTAATATAAATATTTAATAATAAAATATTTAAAAATTAAGTTAAAAATTGATTAATTAAGATATAACTAATAATATTTGAAATATAAAAAAAATTTATGTTTATTTATTACATAAAAAATATTTAAATAATTTACTGATATATCATATAAACTTATTTTTTATTTCACAAAATTATCAATTTCCGAAAGCAATTTAAACTAATTACAGTATATTAAATGTACAATATTAATATATAACAGAAATAATTAATTATTGTATTTTTTTTAATTATTTTAGCATTTTTTCAAACAGAAAAAATGTTATTAATTACTATATAATAATTATGTGCATATTTAAGACAAAACTTTTTTGTATTATGTATTTTTTGTATGCATTAATTAGTATGATATCTAAATTTAAATCATCGGTAAACCTAAAAACCCATGTTTTTATTGACACATAAAAAAATTAAGCGAAAAAATGTGAAACAAAAATTCAAGTTTAATTATATAACACACAAAAAATAATTATTATTCATAACTTTCACTTAATTACACAAACAATATCTACACTAATATATAAACCACTGATCTTTCAATATTTAAAATATCAAAATAAAAATATTATTTTCATAAACAACAACAAAAGTGAAAGTTTTATTGTTAAAAAAAACTTTAGTTTTGAATTTTACTTTCAAATAAAAATGTTACAAAAATATTTGCTATCAATATTTTCAGTTATACTATGTGTTCACAGAATTACTAGTCAAAGAGTGGATAATAGTGGTGGTAGTGGTGGTGTTGTCGACTTAGCTCAGGTACCGGTGCTTGTTGTGCCAACCGATGTGTACGCTGGAAACGGTGCCATAAACTATGGACAGTTAGTCGAACTGCCAGCCGATCTGGACACCGCTCAAACTGAACACAATATTGGCGGACACAGTGAAAGTGGACATGGTGGACATAGTAGCAAACATTACACGGGTGGACACGGTCATGGTCATCATGATTGGGGACAGGGTGGTCATAAAAAATATGAGGACGCCTACGGTAAACAGGGACACGATCAACATGGAGGTGCCGAACAGTGGGGTTAGTTTAATTTATGTTATTATTATTACTAAAAATAATACCAATAATAATATTGATATATGATATATATATACAGTATATATATATATAATTTATACTTTATTAAAAAGCACCTATTGGTTTATTTATTATACTTTATAACCTAAAAATTATTATTTAATAATTAACTACACATTAATTTTATTATTGTTGTTGTTGTTGTTGATAGCTGATAAACATCATCATAAAAATGGCCACCAACAACATGGTAGTAAATGGGCCGATAAGCAGGGTGGCAGCAAAAAATCTGATTACGATACCTGGGTAGACAAGCAGACCTATCATAAGGATAAGGGTGCTGGCTATATTAAAAAATGGAACTGGGACAAAGAGTCAGGCCACAAGGATGCCCATGGCAAAAAGGGACACCACAGTGACCAACATCATAAAAGTTCGCACGGGTATGTTTTGTTATGCTATATATATATAGCAAATAAATAACCCCGCCCCTTACACCCCACTTCAGTATACATAAGCTAATTTTTATTAGTATATATCTATATTCAATATATATACTTAAATATTAATATTTAAAGTGATAAACATGGATCGAAAAATTATCATGATAGTGCTGCCGATAAACATGGTAATAAACATTATGGCAAAAACAATGTTAGTAGATTATTTTAGTTATAATTATAATAAAGAGTACTTAAATTTGTTATCAAAATTACTAAACTAATTAAAAATAAAATTAATACTTTTGTATAGCACTGGAAAATTCATGGCCACAAACACGGTAGCTCCGGTCACGGTGATCATGGCCATAAAAAATGGTCACACCAGGAACCCAACTGGCACAGTGAGCACAAACATAACCAACATCATAAGCAACAACACCATGGTGGTTCCGGTGGGCTATGGTAGCTTAGATGGACAGTACCCCTACTATTTGATTAGTTAAAACCTCAGCTATAAAATAGATAGTAAATTTTATTTTGTTAGTTAAAATTTTCTATTTAATTATGTATTTATTTATTTTATTTATGATTATTTGTAGAATTTATTTAAAATTTTTTTATTTAATTATTTTATTTAATTTGTTCTAATTTTCAATTTAATATCAATATGTTTTAATAAATAAATTAATAATATTTAAAAAATATATATAATTTTGATTAATTTTTACTATTATTTTGCAATAAATATTACGTAAAACATAAAGTTTTTAATATTGTATTGTAAAAATTAATTTATTATATAATATTAGATTTTAAAATTTAATAAAATTTAATTTATAATAATTATTATAATAATAAAACTGATATATAATTATAATATATATATATATATTATAATTATATATTTATATATTATCATAATAAATTTTAATAAACTTAAATTGTATTGTTTTTATAAGTTATCAAAAATTGCTTAATATATTTTGGTATAAAATATCAAAATATATTATAAAATCACAAAATGTTTAAATGATTTCTATAAATAATAATTACTCCCGTAATGATGTTTATTTGATTTACAATTTTATGAATATTTTGCATAATTATCACGAATTGTCAATTAAATTAGATATTAATTGAGTCAAACATAAAAACATAACATTATTGTACAAAAAGTTTGGTTATTAATCATGAAACCTAATTTAACAATCAATTGTATATGAATTTTATTTAATATATATATAATATATAGATTAATAAATAGTTATCAATGAGTGGGCTTAAAGTTTGTAAATTATTTTTTATTTTACGTGTGTTTTATAGTATTAATAAAAAAAATTGTAAAACAATTGATATTTTTTTTGCTTAATAACACTAAATGTACTAGGCAATTTTTTTCACGCGTTTTATTTATGATCAATTTATAATATATATATAATATAAACATTAATACGTCAATAAAATTAATGATCAAATAGAAAATAAAACAATTATTTTAAGTTAATTATATTAAAATCAGTGATTTTTTGATTGAAAATCACATTTAGTTGGCGGCATCACTAGTGTTGAGCCGTTATACAAAAAAAGTTAATTGTTAGTATATATACTGTAGTAATTATAACTTAAAGTTAATTTTAAGTTACAAAAATTAATTATACAATATATATATATATACTATCAATTAGTAGGTGCTTAGGGGACAGGTGTGTATATATATCAAATCTATACTATCTGTGCTGATAAGCCGGTGCGCTATGAAGCGGCTCAACAACACGTATCACATATTTTACGCTTCGGTAATCATATTTATCGGTCATCTACTACTATGCGATGTTAAAGCAGGTAATTATAATTATTATTATTAAAATTAGGATATATAGATATATAGCATTTTGTATAATAGTTTTTTTTTAAAAATGTAAATTAAATATCTAAGATAAGAAAGTTTATATGAGAAATTTTCGTTGTAAACTTTACTACTATGACAGTGAAATAACTATAAACTTTTTTTTTTAAAACACAATTTTTAGTTATTTCATACACTATGTAAACATTATATTTATTGTAATATTAAATACTGTAATATTTTTGTATATTTTACATACATTACTAACTACTATTATGATAGGAAAGTTTTTATTGAGAAAAATAATAATAATACAAATATTGATATTTTAAATTGTTTTTTTATATTAAAATTATTATATATTGTTAATCATTTTATATTAATTTATTTAATTCATTCATACAAAAACACCAATTGATTTATGATAAAGATGTGGATATTGTCCGTCAAAGTCGTATACCTGAAAGTACACATTTGAGACACTTTTTCAGTCAAAATCGTGAATTGTATTGTTCAGTGTTTGGCGATTGGGGTTATATCGCCACTATCGAGGAATGTGATGCTTGTAAAGGTTATATCGATCCATTGGATCCCAATAATGGCATCTATGAAAAAAATCATTATTGCTGTATTTGTAAGTTATTTAATCATTTATCTCTCTCTCTCTCTCTCTCTCTCTCTCTCACTGTCTTCCTAACTGTTTCTCACTGTCTCTCTAACTGTCTCTCTAACTGTCTCTCTAACTAACTGTCTCTCTAACTAACTGTCTCTCTAACTAACTGTCTCTCTAACTAACTGTCTCTCTAACTAACTGTCTCTCTAACTAACTGTCTCTCTAACTAACTGTCTCTCTAACTAACTGTCTCTCTAACTAACTGTCTCTCTAACTGTCTCTCTATCATTTCTTAATTATCTAATTCATTATTTAATTTAACATACAATTGATTAGTTTTTATTATAATATCAAAAACTAATAGTTTCAATGGTTATGAGTGTTTGTTAAGTTTAAATAATATTATTACTATATATTTATTGTTTTTTTTTTAAATTTAATGAATTAATAATAGTCGAAAAAGAGTCGCCGACTACACTAAAAGGCACCAAACTGTCCGTTTTGAACGTAAGCTGTCCAGTAGCCTATACTGACAGTCCGGGTTACTTGCGTGATGCCTATCTACAGGACGGGGGCCGGTATGTCATCAATCGACACTTCGGACCCGATGTCTGTCAAATTTGGTTCTTTTTCTATTCGTTCGAAACCGACTTTCCCGACGATCGTGGCATATGTTCCCGGTGCCAGTTGATCATCAGAGGCGATAAAAATAAATTTTTTACCGTACCCATTTTATGTGGCGATCTAACTGGGCGAAACTGTAAGCTAATTAAAATTAATTTTTTTTAAATATAAATTTTTTTTAAAAATTATTATTTTATATTTTGTTGTTGACACTTATATATATATAAATAGTTTACGTACATGTGGATCAGGCTAGAAAGGGTAATCTGGAAATATACATTGAATGCAATCAGCCCCGACCCGGTGACAAACATATCATAAACCGTCGATGGCGTATACTAACTGTATCGTTGCCCTGCTGTTCCCCATCGTTAGGTATGCTATCACTGTCTGTCTAACTGTCTGTTTGTATATACTGTATAAACCTATTTTTTAACGAAAATTATTTATTTTAAAACAAAATTATATATATTTTTCTCAAACAACTATTAGCACCACCCGGTTGTCTACAATTTCAATACCCAGATAAGGGATCGGTAATGACATTTGACGTAGTGGGCGCCCGACGCAAATTGAAAACACTGAAAGACCTTGAATACAGTATCTGTTTCCCGACCGGTTACTGTGGCATCAAATTGAGTATGATGGACCCGGATGAAAACTACTTGATGAACATACTGGCCGACGATTGGCAAGCCCATAAGGGACAGTCAGGTTTCGATGGCGACTGTCACGGTTCGTATGTTGGTCTACATCACGATCGGTACTGTTTTTTTCGTCTGAATGATCACACCGGTGCTACCGATAACAAAGATATTGTCAAACACTGGTCGGGACCACTGAGCCTATCGGTTACGGGAACTTACGTTAGCTTTGCATTTAGCTACGAAATGATACCGTGCACTAACACAAGTATGTTATATTAAATTATATATTTAAAAAAAAAAAATAACTAATTAAATAATATAAAAAATAAGAAAACTAAAACAAAATTGAACTAGATTACAAATTAGATTTAAAAAACTAGTTTAACTAGATTTTAATAACTATTATATTAACTAAGTTTATATATTTAAGATATTAGTAAATTTTTATTATATCAAAATTTTAATTAAATTAGTATAGTATGAGTATATTAGCTATTGATTATATTACTAAAATTGATTGTATTGATAAATGAAAAACTAAATCATTATAATTATATACTTTTAAAAATATGTATTTTATAAAAAATTGAAAATTGAATATTTGACCCAAACTGTAGCCCAAAAGCCTGGCTGTAATCCCGATGACTGCGACCATTACTGTCAGAAACGGCATAAAACATGGGGCGAGTGCTATAAAGGTAAACACGAATCAATGGAATCGTGTAGGTGTGGCCACCGATGCAACAAACTATGCGACCGGTTGTGCGACAAAAAATTTCCGCCAAAAGGCGACTGTAATAAAACACTCGGTTATTGTATTGATGAACACAATATCAAGACCTGCCGGTGCTTGAAATGTTCGGATTCGTGCAAAGACTGTTGCAAACACTGTCAAAATGTTACCACAACTATATCGCCGCCGTTGACCACTACCGAACTGACCACATTTACAACCAGCGGGACGGTTAGTACACTAACGCCGATAACAACATTAAGCACAGGTATGTAAAATAATATTAGAAGTAATATTAAAGTCTAATTAAAAATAATATTAGATAATTTTACTACTATTACTAATTTTCCGGAATGGCCTAATACAGGAACAACTTCACCGATTACGACAGTTACACAACCATCACAGACACCCACTGGCCAAACCCAACCACCTCTGACGCCCACTGGTGAGACCCAGCCAACCGGACCTCCAGTAACAGAGACACCCACTATTTCGACACAATTTACTACTGTGACAGGACTTGGACCTGGTACTGGATCAACATCTGTACCACAAACTACTGGAACTAAGCCATCTCTTACACCCACAGGAGCAACAGGAACAACAGAACCACCACAAACACCTACTGGCGAAACACAACCACCTCAAACACCCACTGGTGAGACACAACCACCTCAAACACCAACGGGAGCAACTCAACCACCACAAACACCCACTGGTGAAACGCCCATTATTTCGACACAATTTACTACTGTAACAGGTATTGGACCTGGTACTGGAACAACATCTGTACCACAAACTACTGAAACACAGCCACCTCTCACACCCACTGGTGAAACACAACCACCGCAAACACCCACTGGTGAGACACAACCACCTCAAACACCAACGGGAACAACACAACCACCACAAACACCCACTGGTGAAACACAACCACCACAAACACCCACTGGTGAGACACAACCACCTCAAACACCAACCGGAGCAACACAACCGCCACAAACACCCACAGGAGCAACACAACCACCGCAAACACCTACTGGCGAAACACAACCAACCGGACCTCCAGTAACAGAAACGCCCATTATTTCGACACAATTTACTACTGTAACAGGTATTGCACCTGGTACTGGAACAACAGCTGTACCACAAACTACTGAAACTCAGCCACCTCTGACACCCACTGGTGAAACACAACCACCGCAAACACCCACTGGTGAGACACAACCACCGCAAACACCCACTGGTGAGACACAACCACCTCAAACACCAACGGGAGCAACACAACCGCCACAAACACCCACAGGAGCAACACAACCACCGCAAACACCTACTGGCGAAACACAACCAACCGGACCTCCAGTAACAGAAACGCCCATTATTTCGACACAATTTACTACTGTAACAGGTATTGCACCTGGTACTGGAACAACAGCTGTACCACAAACTACTGAAACTCAGCCACCTCTGACACCCACTGGTGAAACACAACCACCGCAAACACCCACTGGTGAGACACAACCACCGCAAACACCCACTGGTGAGACACAACCACCTCAAACACCAACGGGAGCAACACAACCGCCACAAACACCCACAGGAGCAACACAACCACCGCAAACACCTACTGGCGAAACACAACCACCTCTGACACCCACTGGTGAGACATTACCACCGCAAACACCCACTGGTGCGACACAACCACCGCAAACACCTACTGGCGAAACACAACCACCTCTGACACCCACTGGTGAGACATTACCACCGCAAACACCCACTGGTGCGACACAACCACCGCAAACACCCACTGGTGCGACACAACCACCGCAAACACCCACTGGTGCGACACAACCACCGCAAACGCCAACAGGAGCAACACAATCACCACAAACACCTACTGGTGAAACACAACCAACCGGACCTCCAGTAACAGAAACGCCCATTATTTCGACACAATTTACTACTGTAACAGGTATTGCACCTGGTACTGGAACAACAGCTGTACCACAAACTACTGAAACTCAGCCACCTCTCACACCCACTGGTGAAACACAACCACCGCAAACACCCACTGGTGAGACACAACCACCTCAAACACCAACCGGAGCAACACAACCGCCACAAACACCCACAGGAGCAACACAACCACCACAAACACCCACTGGCGAAACTCAGCCACCTCTGACACCCACTGGTGCGACACAACCACCTCAAACACCCACTGGTGAGACACAACCACCGCAAACACCTACTGGTGAGACACAACCACCTCAAACACCAACCGGAGCAACACAACCACCACAAACACCTACTGGTGAAACACAACCAACCGGACCTCCAGTAACAGAAACGCCCATTATTTCGACACAATTTACTACTGTAACAGGTATTGCACCTGGTACTGGAACAACATCACTACCACAAACTACTGAAACTCAGCCACCTCTGACACCCACTGGTGAAACACAACCACCGCAAACACCCACTGGTGAGACACAACCACCTCAAACACCAACGGGAACAACACAACCACCGCAAACACCCACAGGAGGAACACAACCACCACAAACACCCACTGGCGAAACTCAGCCACCTCTGACACCCACTGGTGCGACACAACCACCTCAAACACCCACTGGTGAGACACAACCACCGCAAACACCTACTGGTGAGACACAACCACCTCAAACACCAACCGGAGCAACACAACCACCACAAACACCTACTGGTGAAACACAACCAACCGGACCTCCAGTAACAGAAACGCCCATTATTTCGACACAATTTACTACTGTAACAGGTATTGCACCTGGTACTGGAACAACATCACTACCACAAACAACTGAAACTCAGCCACCTCTGACACCCACTGGTGCGACACAACCATCTCAAACGCCAACAGAATCAACACAACCACCAGAAACACCTACTGCTGAGACACAACCACCGCAAACGCCAACAGGAGCAACACAACCACCACAAACACCTACTGGTGAGACACAACCACCACAAACACCTACTGGTGAGACACAACCACCACAAACACCTACTGGTGCGACACAACCACCTCAAACGCCAACAGGAGCAACACAACCGCCACAAACACCTACAGGCGAAACCCAGCCAACGGGACCTCCAGTAACAGAGACACCCACTATTCCAACACAATTTACTACAGTAACAGGTATTGGACCTGGTACTGGAACAACAGCTGTACCACAAACTACTGAAACTCAGCCACCTCTCACACCCACTGGTGAAACACAACCACCGCAAACACCTACTGGCGAAACACAACCACCTCTGACACCCACTGGTGAGACACTACCACCACAAACACCTACTGGTGCGACACAACCACCGCAAACGCCAACAGGAGCAACACAACCACCACAAACACCTACTGGTGAGACACAACCACCACAAACACCTACTGGTGCGACACAACCACCTCAAACGCCAACAGGAGCAACACAACCACCACAAACACCTACTGGTGAGACACAACCACCGCTAACACCTACTGGTGAAACACAACCGACTGGCCCTCCAGTTACAGAACGATCTCAGACACCAACTATTCCGACACAATTCACTACCGTTACAAATATTGGTCCCAATACTGGAACCACATCGCAAACATCGGGCACATCTATAACTAGTAAAACCAGTGCACCAACAGAAACGCCATCGATTACTACAAACACTGGACCACCGATATCGTCGACATACAAAACTGGATCACCAACTGGTACTAAACCAACAAAACCAACAAAACCAACCCACCCACCCTGCAAAGACTGTTGCAACTCTCAGTGCTCGTTGGACTGCATACTTAACGGCTACCGATACGGCAAATGCAACGGCAAAGGCTGTTGTGAATGCGCTAAACTGTGTGACAAAAAACGAAAACACTGTTCCCGTCAATATCCCGAACCATACTGTGTGGGCGATAGTGTACTCTGTATGGACTGTCGACCTTCAGGCATACCAGTCGATTGTAACGTATTTTGCGATATCGAAGGCTACCGGCACTCGTCCTGCGATAAGCCTCCCGGTAAGCCATCACCGCACAGCCCATCGGCTACAGTATGCCAGTGCTCTGATTGCGATATACGTAAATGCGATTGGCACTGTAAACTGGTCAAATTTGAGCATGGTCGATGCGATCGGGGCAAATGTAGTTGCTATGGTCATGGAAAGGGACGCAAAAAACGTAACTTAGCCAATGTTGATGGTGGCCAGGCTCATATCGATAGTAGTAATACCGGTGCCAGTGGTAGCAAAAAGTTTAATCTATTTGATTTATCCAGCTATTGGCCAAAATCAGGTTTCCAGGCTTATTTCTATTAATATTGATTATAACTAATTGTTTTTTATATAATTAAATACATGAAAAAATTGTATTATTTTTATTTGTTAAACTAATAATGTTACTTTAAATTTTTTTAATTTATTGTATATTAGATTGAAAATTCAAAATTAGTTTATGTAAAAGTTTTTTAAAAACTATTTTTTGTTGTTGTAATAGTACAATGTTATTATTATTATTATTAATGAATTAATTATTAAAATATTTAATAAATATTTTAGAGCATTTAAAATTTTGACTATTTTTTTTATTTATTTGTTGCTTTAAATATATAAAATTATTTTATATATTTATTATAGATTATAGATTATTAATAATTAAGTTTATAGTTATAATGTTATTAAAATGTTAATATTATTATAATGGTATTAAAAATTAATTTCAAGTTAATTAAGTTAAATCTAATTTACTTACAAAATAATTAGTAATTCAGTCAATAATATTTTTAGTAATGTTATATTAAATTATACTCTATAATCAATACAGTATAAATGATATTTTAATTTAAATGTTATTTATATTATTTACAAACAAAATCAATAACAAAAAATAATTTATTTATATATATATTGATATTTATAATAAGTTAATATACTGTATATGAATATAATATAATATTATTAATTATTTTAATTGCAATTCTATACAATATTTCTATTCTATTAATAATTTAGTTATATTTGCAATAAATATTGATTTAGGATTTAATGAAATACAAAAATAGTGAAAATAAATTATTTGTATTTATACAGTAGTACTAGTAATGTTGTAATTGAAAATAAAATAAACAAATAATTTATTTATTTATTTTAATTATCAAAAATACATTACAATATATACACATATCTATTTTTTAGATATAGTAAATTTTGAATATGATAAAAAATAATTATGTTTAATATAAAAAACATTTTTACAAATGGCGGCAAAAAATCAATAAAATGTTTGGGAAATTATGTGGAGTCAAACCTGGCTATCATTGGACAGATACTTCTATGGTATCACCGGATATCACTTTTGGCGGACTCTCAATCATTAATAGCAAATCTCCAGATATCTACATAAGCCCGAGTCGTTGGCTTAAACTGTATGGCATTGCTGTTAGTTTACTAATAGTTGTTTGGGATTTATTGATCCTACAGTTTGGTATAATGAGAACAACAATAAAATATTATAATGACTGGTTTATCTGGATATACATTGCCAGTGGTATTATGCACAGTACCGTTAAGTTGGTCACCCTATTGACATTGAACCTAAATGGCGGTTCTAAAATAATTAGATTATTGATTCAAACAAATCAGCTAGTTAAATTAGAAATAACAATGACCATGGTTATTGTGTTTGCTATTTGGTTTGGACACTGGATTGCTATTGAATTTTTTAATATTGTCACTGTTTACAATTTGGTGGCCAAAAAACATTCAGCCATCAACATTATCAAAACACTGCCAATGAATCATTTTAATCTATACCCCTGGATGATACCCTCCCTAATGTGGCTAATATCGTTGTATCATGTACAAATAATTGAACAAATCACCCAGGAAATTGAACTAGACTCAGCAAGTTATAAATCATGTAAACAATTAATTTTTTAATATTAAATTTTTAAAATTTAAAATTATATATTTATATTTAGAAAAATAATGTTAATATTTGATTACTAAATAAATAATTGGAAATAATTTTTAACAGTAAATGAAAATATTCATATTATAGGAAATTTATTTTTTAAAAATTATTTAAGTGTACTTAATATTAAATAATAGTATGCTTTTATAATATATAGAAAATAAATAATTAAATTAAACTATAAAATTAAGATAATATTATTTTAATTATTATTAAAAAGGTTCACAATATTTGTCGTCAAAATTATTACAAAAACATAATAAATTGGTTGAATTGAAATCACTTTATATAACATTGAGAGACCGTATGAGTGAATTGGATTCAATAATACAAACGGCAAACTTGTTTATCACTATTAATACAATCTATACGATTATGCTTAACATCTATGGTATGACTTCAATGGGATCTATGCCTTACGCCCAGCTTTTTATCCGTATGTTTATATTTACAACACTATCGACTATTGGATCGATGAGTATATCGTGTTGGGTGTGTGGGACAGTCCAACAGAAAACCGACACTTTAGCCAATATATTGGACCAAATGGACGCCCGAGATATGGATGACTGGCATTACAAAGAGTGGCAAATGTTTGCCACAATTCTACATAAATCGCATTCAATGGGCTTTACTATCGCTGGTTTCGCCAGATTTAACAAATCGACATTAATTGCTGTAATTTAAATAATTATTTTTTTTTGTAAAATCTATTAAATTTATATAAAAAAAAATAAATAAAAATATATTTTTATTTTACAGATATTCTCATTTATACTGAACTATACTTTTATATTGTTTCAAACAAACAGTAAATTATAAATTATTTTTTAAATAATTTAATAAACTACTATTTTATTAATTATATCTTAATAATTTTTTATATTACAAATGTTTTTACAAAACACCTATTATTTGTTAATCCTATTTATACTATATCATAGATTTTAATAATTTTATTAGTTTTATTAAAAAAATTATTTTTGGTTTATTAACAACGTTGAAAAATAACAACATGTTTTCCCATTGGACCTAACTATACCCTATTGGTATTTAGGGTACGCCTACCCTTCCCCATATATAAACCCCTGGAGTGGATTCGCAAACAGATCGCATAGTGTTCGCAGAGTAAATATAACGTAAATGCGTTCACAAAAACATCGCTAAGCGTAAACTTACGTTACGTTTACGCAAGAGTTGCGAACAAAATATAAGTCGTACGTACAGACATACGACATTGTTTTGCAAAATAAATAAAATCATACGTATTATGTATTTTTACGACATGTATTAACTTGTCGTAAATTAAAATATATGCAGACATTTCACCCAATATTTCACTTTCAAAACCGAATATAATCTTTATATTAAATTTATTACAAAATTTTTATATGTCTTGGCTAATAATTGTGGCCGAAAATGGCGAGCCTGTCCCAAAAAGATAATCTTCAAGGATAGAGCAATCCATTGGAGCGAAATTAGAGCGAAACAATGACTATGATAGATTTGGTAGAAAAATAGAAAGATATAGAAGTAATGCTAATCGAAATAGAAACAGTAACAATCAAAACACATTTCGAGATCGAGGGGGTTTTAGCAGAGACCCAACGTTTGATAGATTCACTAGTAAACAAAATCAACCCAATTCGAATATTACTTATAATGAAAGGCCTAACAGGTCATTTTCAGGTGATAGACAATTTGACTCATACCGTAGAGACATATTCAGAGATAGAATGGACAATAGATCAAATCAAAGAGATATCTCAGGCGTAACGATAGCTTAAATCAAAGAAATATATCACTTGAAAGATATACTAGACAAACAAAGACAATTATTACAAAGAAAATGATCAATTAAGTCGAAGTGTAGGTTATAACACTTCTCGATCATCGTCATATTCTCCGAGAAATGATCGCCGAAATCTTTCGGTTGATCTCGATTATAATAGGTCTAATGATACGTCAACAAAACGTGTTGAATTTGAAGTCGCACGCGAAAGGAGTAGATCCCGTAACTTGAACGGGGATAAAGCCTGCTTTATTTGTAAAAAAAAGTAGACCATTATGCTAGGGTATGCCCTAATCGAGAAGCCGAACAAGTGAGTACACTATCGGACACTTACACTGATGAACCAATAAACCAATATAAAATCCCAAAACTTATATTTAAAAAAGTAGAAATTAATAACAACAGTGTTGAAGTTTTGATAGACACCGGAGCTGAAGTGTCTCTAATAGACTACGCTGTTATTAGTAAGTTTGGGATTAAGATGTTCAAAATGTGTAATGAAGATATACGGGCAGTTAATGGTAAAAAGGTTGAAACGATTGGTAAACTGTACCCTAATATTTCGCTAACTATTAACGGCTTAACCAAAGTAGTAAATATAAAATTAATTGTAGTTAAAAACTTTCACTTTGATTTACTATTAAGTAATAATTATACAGTGAAAGCAGGTGTCTTTATTGATTGTGCTAAAAGACAAATTATGTGGAGAGAATTCATAAAAAGCCTTAGTTGTTTAGAAAAATCATATGACTTCTATGATAACAAATTGCATTTAGCAAAACCAATAACTATTCCGGCAAATGAGCCTCAACTATTACATGTCAGACCTAGTAATAAAACTAAAAGGTTACCATATTTTAATTGTAAATTTACTTTCTAAATCATTTGCAGATAAATACAACATTGATATAAAAAGTGATAAAATTACAATTAAATATAGTAAGTGAACGATCTGTATATTTAACAACAACAATTATGAAATACACCTAAATGATGGGATTATTGTTGGTTACTTTATAGTAGATAAAGATTCAGATAGTGAATCTGATATTGCCTTAACCAACAATCCTATCGAAAATTTAATAGAAATTTCAAGCAATGATTCCGATAAATCTGATGATTGCATTACAACATCAGATGAATACTATACATATGACTCAGAAAGTTCCAATAGTGATATTGAAATTACACCCGATATTGAAAGATGTGAATATTGTGTAAACAAAGTGTACAAATCAGATCAATACAACGATGAATTCATTTATTGTAGTAATGCCTATTGTCAATATATAGCCGAGAAAAACTTGATGCAAAATAACTTAAGCTATGCAGAGAAACCTATACTGGGTATTCTAAAAAATATCAATAAAAGTATAACCTTTTATTAATAAATATTATTAACTATTTGATGTTAATTATAATTAATTTTAATTAAAAAAACAATTTTATATATACTTTAAATCAGATCGATCATAACATGTTATTTAATTTCAAATATAATTCAAAAATTTTATAAAAAAATATACACAATATACGTTTGTTTTATTATATATTGTATACATAAATAAT